CCCGCTCTTCTTGTTCCAGACATCAGCACATGGCCGTCAATTCCCGCAGACCACGTCTTCAGGATAAAACGGGAAGCGAAATGCTTCTCACAAACGCGATCCGTTCTTTGGAGCACGCGGTCCTTACGAGGAATGGCTCGTCTCCATGCTTCCAGTCTTGCTTCATCGTTCGGCGGCTTGAAAAGCGAGAACTTTTCTTTGCAAGACTTGTAACCGGTGTTACAAAACGGTACGAAGCACTTTCCCATTATGCAGGCTCATGAAAAAGTTCGAAGGTTGGGAGCTACCTGGCAGACAAATGAACAATGCTTTGACAACACCCGGCGAGCAGCAACAACGTGCCGTGAACAAAGCTGCAAACGGCTAGTGCTGTCTGAGAGCGCGAAGCGAGTGAGCGGGCACAAGTTTCTAGCGCCCTCTCTTGACGAGCGGAGAAAGGAGAACTCTAAGCGTGCCGCAGTGGCCCTCGCCCAGCGCGCGCCGTTCAATCACCTAAGCTACTACTTCTTACACCGTGGTAAGGACCTAGCATGCTTGCTATTTCTGTCCCGAGCCAGCTTGCCAATTGCCTTGGCAAGAGCCCAGTGTACTTTCTAAAGTACACTATCATAACTTCTGAAGAAATAAATGTAACTTTATGAAAATATGCAGCTGTTGTTGTCTGTGTAGTTTGATAAATATGCAAACTTTCAATGAAATTCAAACAATAGTTCTTCTTGCATGGGCATTAATGGGTTGATGTATCAAGTGGTAGGAAATTCATTAAGGCAATGTGGCCAACAGTTTCAAATCTCTGACATGTTGGCATTGATGTGTGGAGATCTTGACATGAGACCTAAAATGAAACTTTGTCCTTCATTTTCTATTCTTTCAATAAACCTATGATGGTGAAATTAACTACTGTAGTGTTTTCAAGGAATAAATTAAACATTTAAACTAATTAATTATTTAATTGGTGTGCCCCTTTTAAGCATTTTCAGTCTAGAACCATCTAATGGGTAGGCCACCACACATATTTACTGTGTTCATATTGACCAAATATTGTTATTTTGTGAGTAAGAAAAAAGATCATGTGAAAACTATGTGTAAGTTTTGGGTACACTAATGTGCTATTGCTGACTTATTTCTATATTTGCCAGTACTACATTGGTAGCAGCGTGCTACTGTGGAAGACGCTGCTGATCTTAATTCACTGATCTTAGCTCCTTTAAGGGACACTAAAGAGTAAAACGATTTTTCTCGTATTAGTAAATTGCTCTTTCACAGTATCAAAAACACCACGCTTGTGGCAAGAAAACGCTTGGTAAGTGAGAAAATGTGCAAAAGGAAAATGCAGGTGGCGACACCAGCTTGAAGTTTCCGCACCATTCGCCATGATGTTGCATATTTTGATGATGCCTACTAAGGTCTACATAGTTCCTAATCGGTAAAAACAAAGTGAAGTGTCTTCTGAAGGGGCCATGGCGTTGTAGCGCCTTCATCATCATCATCATTTTCTTAGCCACCGCACTGCACCTCTCGCACAGCGCATGCCTAGCTGGAGCTGCGCGAGGACAGAATGGGTTCATGCACCTGGCGCGTCGGGCGCTACGCTGGTGACCTGGAGAACGCGCCCTTCGACAAGCGGCCGCCGCCATGCTTACACGGTTGTGCCTTCAAGTGAAGCCCTTACACCTGGCCTACGTGCGGATAGTTTCTGCAGCTCGACGCAACTCTTGCCTGAATGGCGTCACGGCACAGCCGACGATATACACCATTTTTCTCGACGCCCTTCTGGTAGAGCTGCGTCATCTCGCTGCCACATCAAGCTCCAGCCCGCAGTCCTATGATGACCTCTGCTCTGCGGTGCTGGCTTGCTATGGCCTCACCTACTGCCCGCTTCCGGGGACTCGCGACTTCCAGGTTTCCCCTTAGTCACAGCGAGCGGTACCAACTGGCCTTCATCTCTGCCTTGACGAAGACTTCGTTCTCCAAAGGCTACGTCTATTTCCACTTCTCGTCTTGCCACTTGAGAAGTGCCTCCCACACCCGTTCTGCCGATCTGACGAGGTTCAGGCAATTCGTGTTAAATGCGACCAGTCAGCCATGAGGTGTGTTTCTATGACATCCTCTGCCGATGATACTTTAGGCATGCTCAACACAGGCACGTCCTGTCCGACCTCTACGGCTCACGACGCCTCTCACACGGCAGGCTCCATGACGTCAACCTCATCGCATGCCCGAGAGTCTGCCTAAGACACGGTCATCACCTGACTTGCCTTGGACCGTTCTGACCTTTTATCAAACTCGACCCTCAATGCGATTTGTAAGCAGTGACCAGCCTCACCCTCCCTGTCTTCCGCAGCGGAAGTTCAAGTTCCTATTGAACTATAGCCGAACTTAGCTATGCGGCGACTATGACTGACTTGAGAACGACGTGCATGGTCCGCTTACGACAGGGCACACCACACATGCCATGCCTGCCATGAATGCGGCCAGCGATTATGCAGACCTGCCCGCCAACCCTTGTGCACGGACAACGGAAAGTCGTTCCATGCTGACTGGGTTCCACAACCACCATTCCACGGAGCCTTTTACGCCGGCCAGCAACCGCCAGATGTGTGTGCACAATGCAGGCTTGTTGGTCACAACAGTGACGAAGCCCATTCCTCCTGTATGTCTACCACCTGTGACACTGCGTCGGCAAAGTTAATGCGCTTGACTGCAACTTGTGGCTGCGCAGCAGGGTGGCTACACAGCCATGAGCTTCAGTCGCGTCCGGGTCACTAGTGTAGCGAGAGAGGGAGACGTGAGACGATGTCGAAGGCGGCTGACGGCGCCGTGCCAGTCTGACCGCTTTATTCCCCTCGGGTCAAAGCTCAGCAGTGGCAGCTGCCTGCGTCCGACAAGCCAGGTGCGTGAACCCATTCTGTCCTAGCGCCGCTCCAGCTAGGCATGCGCTGGACGAAAGGCTAAGAAAATGATGATAATGATGATGATGAAAGCACTACAGGCTTAACATATCAAGGTTGAATTCTGTGGAGCAAAAGACGCCAAATTACGATATACTTTACACTTTGTAATCCATGAAGTCGCGAATAGAGATTTCAGCATGAAATTTAAAAATGAAACTTGCAACTTGGTTTTCTCCTTTGTTATAAGGGCATTAGAGTTGTCAGAGTACGATTTATCAATCTAAACCGATTCATTGTCTCTTTTTTGTGTCTCTTTAAGAGACTTGAAAAGACCAATGTCTTGAATAGATGTTACAGAGTCGACTCCCATTAATACGAAGTTCACGGGAACCACAAAAAACTTTGAATTAAACGCACTTCTGAATAAGAAAAATGCACAAAAGCTGCACTTTTATTGCTTCCAACGTGACAATTTTCTAAGAAAATAGTCTGTCATCTTCTGTTGCAAAGTCGGGCTGCTGCTAGCTAGTTTTTCAAGCACAACGCATGAAGAAGTAAACTACAAAGCCACAAAACGTCAAAATCAGAAAAAGCAGAGAAGTAGAAACAGTAGAAACAGTGACAGAGAGCAGAGACGTGGCACTAACAACTGACATTTATTTCAAAAAAAACTTTTCTCCCAGTCCGTACAACGCATGCGATTTGTAGCAGTTGCTCAGGGAACATGAAAATCTTCTACGCTCGGGCACTGGTGGTAACTTGCCGTTGCACTGCAAGTTGTGTGGTTGTATGCGCTTCTTTGATAAGGTGACAATTTTAGCTAAAATTGTCACCTTATCAAAGAAAGGCATACAACCATCGAAGTCACGTCCGGTGTGTCGAAAAATGAGTGCATCCTGTCTCCTACCATTCAGGTTTGGCGACACAGTGGGCTAATGCACAGTGAACTGCATGGGGCTGCAATAGCATTAGTTTGAATGCCAAAATTGTGTATTAACGCGATAGCATTAGAGAGCTCGTGTCGCTGAAATTCCGCCATTGGTGTCAGCATCGTTGGCTGGGAGCAAAAAATCGAGGAAAAAGCACAATAAAATTTCCGGTCCCGTTGAGAATCGAACCCGGGCCGTTCACGTGGCGACCAGGTGACCTACCACAAAGCCGCGATGTTACTTGCAGCTGCTTCGGGAAAAAACACTGCCATGTAGTGGAAGGAGTCTCCTTAGTGCATTTTGTTCGACAGGTGTCATGACGAAAACGAGCCCATTCGGGGATTTGTAGGCACATTTGGGAGGCCATCAAACTATGTCGAAAAAGGCCAGGATAGTGTAGCCATCGCCGCTAAAAATACACAGGAACTTTCAAACATCTGTAAAAATGCACAACTATGTACATGTAGCGGAAAACATATCATGTCTTTCCAAAGCAAACAGTAAACGCTAGATAATGTGCTTCCATCTGTGTGGCATTGTGAGACTCTTTATGGCCTCCGAAATGGCGAGCGCACGGCGGGTGTCTTGGAGGCCATGCAACTCTTACTTTAGATCGAAAACATGTATGTACCATTCGCACGTGCGCGGACTGGTACAATCTACTGTGTGTGTGCTTGTGTGTGTGTCTGTATGTGTGTGTAAAAAAACATATATTAATAAAGTGTTTGAAGGGCGCGCTGGGTTTCGCTATTGCATTCAACTCTTAGAGGTGAAGCTTAAGGGTCCCCCAATATTTAAAATTTGTTTTGAACTATTGTTTTAATGGTGATATTAAGAGCAGTAATCTTCACTTAAAAGTGAATTTCAATGGTGTGAGCGGTTGTCGCACTACATTGCTGATGCTGCTAGCTGTGGCAGCAATTAAATATGCAATATAGTGAGACAGCAAAGTGGTAATGCACGTTGCTGCCCCTTCAGTGACACCCAACCACTGGCACTGGAAAAGTAGTGAGACTGAAACGTGAACCACGAACAGCGCATTGGATGTAACAGCTGTTTACCAATATGTCTGGATGTAATTCTGGACACAGCCTTTAGAATCGAGGGCACTGTTACATGTGTACAGTGTGTATGGAATGTGAAAATATAAATCTGATCTCTTTTCTGTCTTTTTCAGAAAACGCATGCGAGTGCCATTCAGATTCAACAGAGGGCAGAGTCTCTTGTACAAGCAAACCATTATGATCCAGCAGCTGTGCGGGCTGTCGCGGAGGCTGTTGACACATGGTGGCATCGTATGATGACGCATGCTGAGGATCGACATCGCATGGTCACGGCTGCTTTGCGCTTCTACAAGACAGCGGAGCAGGTGATCACACATTACGCGACTACAGCTTTAGGCCAGCAGTGCCATCTACTGCTATGGAACCTTTTTCGGGTGTTTTTTGCTGGTGTTACAAACTCTGTATGCTGCTTAGTTTTCTTGGCATTCATATTCCACTTTGGGGCTCTTTGCTGTGATGTTATTAATTAGTGCCTCAATTCGAAAAGCTGTAATGTTGACTTTTTGATGGTGTGGGCAATTGAAACAAATTCAGCTTTTTTTAAAACTTTATTTCACTTTTCTTTCATGCAATGCTTTTTGCTAAGCAGTGGCAGCACTTCCAAGGCTGGTGTGTTTTTCTGCTGTCAGGTCTACTCTGTCTTGGATAGCCTTGAGCGGGAGTACCGACGTGATGAAGACTGGTGTGCTGCTGGGGATGAGATGGAAGGCACGGATAGAGGTGCTCAGCTGGCCCAGCTTCTCACCAAGCATCAAGAGAAAAAGGAGGCCTTTCTCAAAGCGTGTACCATGGCTCGTCGCAATGCCGAGACCTTCCTCAAGTACACTGCCCGGTGCGGCCAGCACTGTGCAGGGCATGGCGATGCAAGCTGCAGAGGTCCTGAGGCCAAGGTGAAAGGTGGGTGGCTCCTTCCTTCTGTCTGGTTGTAGACCTGCCTAGGTTATGGACAAAGCAAATTGAACATGCTGGGGAAATAGGCATTCTTTGTTCACAAATGTTGTGTTAAATATTTTGCTGAATGTAATTTTTGATTGATATTTAATTTTATTTCATAAGTAGACCTATTGGACAGTTTTTAAAATTGGTAGCATTTTTTAAACAAATCGTGAAAAAGCATTAAAATTGTGTAAACAAATCGTTTTAAAATGCATGTAATAACCCTAAAAGTACTCCATTAAAGAAATATTAAAGCCCATAGACCCAGAGAATGCACATCACCTTTAGCATGTAACTGGCATGCACAACTATTATCGTAGTGTTTATAATGTGTGACGTGCATTCTTAAGGTTCAAAGGGACACTAAAGGCAGACAGCAATTTGCATCTCAGTTGAAGATCAATGTTTGAGAATGTCTGAAACTTGATTATTATTGACAGTAGTGATCTACTAGTGGAAAAATTGAGGTAAATGTATAACACCAAAGGCTATGAGTGAGATATTTTAGAATGATCCCGATGACATAAAGTTCTGAGTACGATTAACCATTAGTAATCAAACCAGTTGTAGTAAAAAAAGAACCTTCTATGCATTACAAGAAGCAATAAAATGCTTGTCTGTTTCTGCTTGATTCATGAAAAGGAAAAGTGCTTAGTGTCATTATGAGGAACGCAGCAAGTGGTTGAAAAGTTCCATCTTCTTGAAACTGCGCTTCGCTCAAGCGGTCGTATCTCAGTGGTAATGGTATCGTGTACAGCTATGTGTGCACACTCATGAAAGTCGCTGTGACGGAAAGTTCGACAAAATTCTTTATGCATGGGATGTTACTGTATGCCCGAATGGTGTATGCCACTTGAGCTGTGGCGAATAAACCGATGTGACCTTTCACTGGGTGCCGCAAAAAAAACCTTTATGCTCAAGGTGGCTCAGCTCTATGCCCCTGCGCCGGCATCGCGGGCCAGTGTCTCGTTTTCAGGTTCGCTGATTACATTTATTGTGGCAAGCTTTGAAGGCTTTTGTTGCTGCTATGGCTTCCGCTACTTTTGCTCTGCTGTTACTAGTGTCGCTGGCTGTGGAGTAAAGGCGAGCTGTGTTGGGCAAGACAATTGCTACATCAGAACTGCTACATTCAGGCAGGTGATATGATGCCGTGTGCACCTCTAAAACGTGATTTATTTTCAAAATAAGCATTTCCTTGGCACGAAAGTAGGACTACAAGGTTTCTGTACCGCATATATAACAATCAACATCGACTTTACAGTTGCATTTAGTGTCCCTTTAACCCTTTGAGTGTTTTTGTCATACATGTACGGCAGTAGTTTGCTGTCCCACGGTATCTTTGTCGTATGGGTATGTATTTGACCCACTGCTATAATGGCAACGCATGCTTACTGGGAGTCTGCCACCTTTTAGGAGTTAAATAAGTGTCGTAGATGATGGTGCTACCATCTTATGGTAATAAAGAGAACTCATTTCTAGTGTCAGTGCATTGAGCATTCTGCTGCAATGCCAATGAGCAACATGTTTGCGTGGTTTCAGTTTTTCCGCGTGATTGTAACAGAGGATTGTGAAACGTTATTTTTATCTTTATCGGCACTTCCTTGGAAAGGCACTGGAAGCTGATTTTCATCTGTACTAGCGCTGCTTTTAGCTTGTTTATCATTGACACTTGCAAGGTACTCTTGTTCTTGATGGTGTGATGACATTTATTCGAGCAGAGAAGTCGCAACGAGGTCGCGACGAAAAATGGGCGTACGGCAAGTCTGGCAAAGGCAGCACAAACTCTCGCGCAAGCAGAGCACGGGGCTTTTCGCTATCTTCCAAAGGCACATACGCATTGGTGCGTATGCTTCACTACAATACCCCCGGGGTGAAGGGTAGCCATCCTGGCGCTTCAGGGAGTAGGCACAATGAGGAGGTCGTAGTAGGGCTTGAGACAGTCGACGTGTACGGTCTCGCGTCCTCGACGGCGCAAATCTGGTGATTGTGTTAATGGCTCGATGATGTAATTCACCGGGGAGGTCACGTCAATAACAAGGTACGGACCATGGTACCGGGCCAGAAGTTTAGAAGACAGGCCAGGAACGTGCGGGGGCACCCAAAGCCACACAAGGGAGCCAGCACGAAACGTAGGAGCTATGTGGTGAGCGTCGTCGTGTCGAGCCTTTTGTAGACCTTGAGCCTCACTTGTCAGAGACCGAGCCAACTGACGGCAGTCTTCAGCGTATCTGGCGACTTCCGAAAGCGGGGAGCACTCAGATGCATCAGGGCGGTACGGGAGTATAGTGTCGAGTGGGTGGGAAGGTTCGCGGCCGTACAATAGAAAGAACGGGGAAAAACCGGTAGTCGCTTGCGTCGCGGTGTTATAAGCGAAGGTAACAAAAGGCAATACAGCGTCCCAGTTAGTGGGGTCGGAGGAGGTGTACATCCTCAGCATGTCGCCAAGTGTGTGGTTGAACCGCTCAGTGAGACCATTTGTCTGTGGATGGTATGCGGTAGATTTCCGGTGGATGATGTTGCATTCAGCGAGGATAGCTTGGATGACCTCCGACAGGAACACTCGACCCGGTATCACTAAGTAATTTTCGCGTAGCACCATGGCGTAGAATGAAGCTGCGGAGAATGAAGAGTGCAACTTCGTGGGCGGTCGCTACCGGAAGAGCTGCAGTCTCAACGTAGCGTGTCAGATGATCGACTCCGACAATAATCCACCGGTTTCCAGAGCTACTATATGGGAGGGGGCCATAGAGGTCAATACCCACGCGGTCGAATGGGCGAGCCGGGCACGGGAGCAGCTGTAACATGCCAGTAAGGTGCCGCAGAGGTGTCTTGTTCTGTTGGCAAGTGGTGCAAGACTGAACGTATTTCTGCACAAAGCGATACATTCCTCGTCAGTAATATCGTTGGCGCAGCCTTTCGTAGGTTTTCAGGACACCTGCGTGAGCACTTTGGGGATCTGCATGGAAATTCATGCAGATGTCAGAGCGCGTATGAGTTTGGACAGCAAGGAGCCACTTCCGACCACCAGGCATGTAGTTGCGGTGGTACAGAATGTTGTCTCGTAAGGAAAAGTGGGCTGCTTGCCGGCGTAGCGCTCTCGTGGAAGGGACAGCAGACGGATCGGTAAGGTAGTCGACTAACAAGGCAAGGTATGGGTCTTTATGCTGCTCCGAAAGCATGTCATTGGTGTCGAGTGGTGACAAGGTGGTAAAAGGGGGTGACAGAGAAGCCACATCTGGTGTTAATGGCGATCGGGAAAGTGCATCGGCGTCCGCATGCTTGCGACCGGAACGATATACAACAGGGATGTCGTATTCCTGCAATCGAAGTGCCCAACGCCCCAGACGTCCGGACGGGTCTTTCAAGGTGGACAGCCAACATAGAGCGTGGTGGTCTGTGACCACGTCGAAAGGACGGCCATAAAGGTACGGGCGAAACTTCGTAAGCACCCAGATTATGACCAAACACTCCTTCTCTGTCACGGAGTAATTCAATTCAGCCTTCTTGAGAGCGCGACTTGCATAAGCGACTACGTATTCGGTTTGGGTGCCTTTCCGTTGTGCCAAAACTGCGCCAAGACCAACGCCACTTGCATCAGTGTGAATTTCTGTGGCAGCAGTGGGGTCGTAGTGGCGAAGAATAGGTGGTGAGGTCAGCAGGCGGCGCAGTTGGCGAAATGCGTCGTCACATGCAGGTGACCATGCAGATATACCTTTGCTGTTGGAAAGCAGACTAGTCAGAGGTGCGATGATAGACGCGAAGTTGCGCACGAAGCGACGGAAAATGGGCGTACGGCAAGTCTGGCAAAGGCGGCACAAACTCTCGCGCAAGCAGAACACGGGGCTTTTTGTTATCTTCCGAAGGCGCATACGCGTTGGTGCGTATGCTCCACTACAATAGTACCAAGTTTACTCTGCCCATGGCATCCACACGCAGATAAGATGCTGGTTTACCAGTACAACTCTTGTCTGCTAGAGCATGGAGATACTATGCGTGTATGTGTGCAGACGGTGATAAGGCACTGCGTGTAGTCTGTGTTTCAAGGAATACCAAGTGCTGAAATACAATTGAACATTTAAAATCAAGATGAGAGCCGACTGATGAAACACGTAATGGGGTAAGCAGAATGAACAAAGGAAGTGCCGCAGACTAGCTGCGAGCCACTTCCTCTGTTCATTCTGCTTATTCCACTACAGACGAACAAGGATATATATCGAACACGAAGGGGATCGCGAATTAGTTTGATATGTGGAAAATTCGATATAAAAAAATAGAGGCCCCGAGGGCTTACCTGTAGCGGATCATCATCTATAATAGGCGCATTCAAGAATGACAAATAATTCCGCACACACGCCGCAACAGAACGATTTATTTGCGTGAAAAAAAAATCGCTAATCTTAGCCTGCTTCTTCGTTTTTTGAAATGTTTAAGACGCTAGCCTTGATCTTATCAAGGCTGTCTAGGTGTGACAGCCTGGTTCCCTCCATGTGGCCGATACAACGGCAAACGATGCCGAATGATGCTGCCACTTCAGCGGCGGAGTACATGCATGTAGCCAGCGCCTCGTCCGGACGATTCTCCTCATCATATGAGTTGTTGGCCTGGACATTGTAGTCCACTTCAACGACGTTGTCTGCAGACACTTTGTGTGGAACTGCTGCCGGGAAGTGGGACGAAAACTCGCGAAACGCGTCGTCTATGCGCTCGTCGTCGTCTTCACCGATTTCTGCAAGTTCCGCCGTCTCAAAGCCTGCCTTGCGGAATCAGTTGACCACTGTGCCCTTCTTCACGTCTCGCCAGGCATTGAAGATCTCCACGGGAGAAAACTTCGCGGAAATTTCCGGCCACTCCTTCGTCATCCACTGCTGGATGTCCTGGCTGCTGACAGCTTTGCTTTCACCAGAGTTGGTTTTGCCAACGATGTTGTAGCACTGCTTAGATAGGTGAAGCCACCCGCTGTTTTCAGCAAAGGTGTTTCATTGAGTGCAGTGGCAAACCATTTGGCCTTCGCGATCAGCATCAGGCCATCCACCGGAATGTTCTTCGTGCGCACTTCTAAAAACTAGGCATAGAGTCTCTTTTCTACATTCCCGTGGGCAGAAGCGTGCACTTGCCAAGCCTCCGACGTTCGCTGCTCCACCGCATTTGCCTTGATATCTGCCTTGTTTTTCAACAAGGTACTCAGAGTGCTCCGTGGTATCCTGAAGTCGTCCACGATGGTCGAGCATTTCTCACCCGCCTCAACACGCTGAATAGCCTTCAACTTCGTCGCAAAGTCAAGGGTCTTGCGCTTGTTGGTGCTGACCATAGATACACAAGAAGTCAAGGAGTTCGCAGCAGCTTTGCACACCACGCACGCAAAAGAAAAATGCTGCACATGCGGTGGTAGGTAGGCGACGCGATGGTGGAAGCAAAAAAGCGCTCGCGAGGCGATAGCCACTTGCCAGGGCAATAGCAAAAGGCGTGAGCTGTGGTTGGCTGATCAAAACTCGCAAAACAGCAACAAAAAATAAAAGAAACGGCGAAAGGAGGAGGACGTCGGCTCCTTCGTTCCTGCTCTCCGAGCTAACGGGTACGCGCAGAAAGCATGAGGAGAGAAAGAGAAACAAAAAAGAAAAAGCCGTTCCACAAATTAGAGATTGTGTCGTGAATTGTGCAGACCGAGCCCTCCTGCCCTTACCTTTTTCAAGCGTTTCGGGTTTTGGCGGAGGCGTGGTGCCGCGCGGAGGTTGCAGGGCACTGCGAGTGCCAAAGCGCGCCTTCCAACTCGCGCATGGAGCCGTGCCGCCGCAGGGATTGCGAGGAAGGGGGAGAAGTGTCGAAGTGCACTTTCAAGCTCGCGCGGCGTTCGATATATCCGAAGGCAGGTAAAAATACCGTTCCATATAAACGTGCAAATTTCTATACCTTTAAAAGGAATTTCAAGGGGATAACTTGCAAGTTCGATATACCTGAAAATTCTGTATAAGTTGGTTCATTATAACCGTGTTCGACTGCATTTAATATTTGGCAGTTCAGCGCTGACATAATAAAACTTAAAACTGGTCCTTATTTTTTTTCACAATATTTTCCTAGCTTTACACATTTATTACATTCAAAAACCCAAATAAAGTAATTTGACCGTCTCTGATAAATTTTCTCACAAATATTCGACACTCAAAGGATTAACAGGTGGCTTTAAGCTTCCTCAATTTGTGTTATTTTTTTTAAACTGCTTTTTATGGTGCCTCTCTCTCTTTCTCTCTCTCTCTCTCTCTCTCTATATATATATATATATATATATATATATATATATATATATATGTACACACAGACACACAAGCAGTTGTTGCTTCAATATCGTATTTAATCACTCATGTTGCTGTCTCTTTGAGTTTGTTAGTGCACTACTTGTAACCATAGAATCATAGATTGAAAATGCCAGATCACTTATTTTGTTACGTCACACTGTGTCTCTGCCTTCAAAGGCAGTTTTATTGAGCAGAGCACGTTGGCATGGAGATGTTCAGAGATACAGTGATTATTTGCAATTAGACAGCATACTGATAAATGAGAAAACATTTTTTTGTCTCTATGCTTAGTATGCTGAGGGGGATATGAAGTGTGGCGTAGTCTCGTAGATGTAGAGGATGGAAGAGAATAGGTGATGCCAGTTTCCTCTATGGCCTTGGACCAACTTTCCTTGGAGCATAGGAGGTGTAGAATAATAACGACCACACTCACACACAAGTATGTGGGAAAAGCGATCCCCCCCCCCGTGCACCTAACAGGATGGGTTGCCCTGGTGCTGATCAGTACAGTACTGTATGGTATTATTAGAGGGCTCAATGTCTGGATGAGTGGGAGAGCACATGCAGCTTTGAAGAAGTTGTGTGACATATTTTTGGGTTGTTTATTTTTTTCTTCTTTAATTTCAGCTTTTATATTGTTTAGATTTGTGAGCTTACAAGCACCTATTATCTTTGCCTCCTCCACAGCTCTCATGGAGCAGCTGCTGAAGCAAGAGAACAAAGTCTTAGAGTATTGGACTGTACGTAAAAAAAGGCTGGATCAGTGCCAGCAGTATGTGCTCTTTGAAAGAAGTGCAAGACAGGTAAGTTGTTTGGACAAAACTACTGTAACTAAACTGTGGACCAAATTGGGAACGCTCTCATATGATATGCACATCTATGTCGTTTTATTGCCAACAAACCTGTGTCCCATTATTTAAAATGTGCAAACATCAGGCAAAAAGAACATTACTCTTTCTTATTGGCTGCAAAAAAAAAATAATACTGCAATGCATTGCTCCTAAATAGGGGCTTTTAGCTTTTACGTATACTTCTTTACGCTACCCTGTTACTGGATACCAGATAGAATCTGCGCATCTGCGCAGTTACCTTTTTAATCATTTTCACTTCATAAACGTTACGCGTAAGCCAACGTATTAATGACTGTGGTTGCACGGAGTGTCACAAGATGTCGACACCATCGTTGCAATAACCTTGTATTTTTCACTTTCTTGCGCATACGAGGATACTGTACACGATAAGAAAACGTCTCGTGATTTTGCCACAGCGATGATTTAATCTTATGCAAGTTAAATGCAGTTTATATGCATTTAGCATCACAATTTATGGTTTGCAAGAACGTAAAGGTATATGCATTTAAGTACATACGTAAACATTTACATATGAGGAGCTGAAACGTTGAAAAATATGCATTCTGGTAAGGCTGTAAATGCAAATTGGTATCCGGTAACACATTACTGTAAAGAAGTATACGTACAAGTTAAAACTGCCTAATAAATGCTCATGTTTTTTTGCGTTTTTTCTTTGTGATTCCAGTTTTAAAATGCATGTGAACTGAAAACGTTTTACAACATGAGAAAACAATCAGTGGCAATAATTTATATCTACTGTCTGTGATGCTTAGTTTTCCAATATAATTACTAAGAAAGAACAAATTTGTCATTTGACAATTGGGGTGGTAACATTTTATATTTCAATAAAGAGCTCGTCTTCTGCTTTTAGGTAACTAATTAACTGTGGGAAGCCCCGCCGCGGTGGTCTAGTGACTAAGGTACTCGGCTGCTCACCCACAGGTTGCGGGATTGAACCCCGGCTGCGGCAGCTGCGTTTTCGATGGAGGCGAAAATGCTGAGGCCTGTGTGCTCAGATTTGGGTGCACGTTAAAGAACCCCAGGTGGTCGAAATTTTCGGATCCCTCCACTATGGCGTCTCTCATAATCATATGTTGGTTTTGGGACTTAAAACCCCACATATCAATCAATCAACTGTGAGAAAAGCATGCTTCTCCAGCTTAAGATTTGTTGTTTGATCAGTGTTTGGTGAACTGGTTTGATTTCTTGCTTTAGAGGCCAATGATTCTTTTCGGTCATTCAAAGAAGTTTCTTTCTTTTTTGTTGGAAGAGCTTACTAAACAGCTTGAAACATGCCGTAGTGGAGGCTTCAAATAATATCAACCAAACGGCATTCTTAAACGTTCACTGGAATAGCACATTACACTGGTTTTCAGCATTTTGCCTCCGGTGAAGCCATGGCTGGGGTCAAACCCGTGTCTTTGTACCAGCAGCTGAGCACCATAACCATTGAACTGCCAAGATGGCCTGTTGACATTGTATGTTTAGTTCATCTGAACTAAACCTGTCTGAGGTTTAGTATAATAATATTTATTGGAGTAGATGATTTTTTAATTTAAACATTGAGAAGATGCTGTGGTGACAAAATCTCTCATTTTTGCAAATGTCACATCATGGCACTTAGCCCACTACTACAAGGATTTTTCCAGAGGCTGCAAATACAGATTTAAAGAGACCGTTTAAGATTTAAAGAAAAACCGTTTGGTTTTTCAAAGTTTTTTTAGCATTTAGGCTAGAGCATCATTAAACAATTTGCACCACAAGTTTAGTAAAATACCGTATAATAAGGCCACTACAGACAATTATATCACACCTTCCTCCTCACCTCTGCTTTGCCTTCTCACCTCCTGAGACACACTGGCATTGCTGGCGATGGCAGAGTTCTTATGAGCACCATAAAGTTTCATACGATAATACCTAGAGAGGAATCTGGCGCTGTGATCATGTACCCCCATGGAAATTATGGAAAGTACAGGCTTAGGATTGGATCGCATTAACTAGTGAACTGTCTGCGAATCTTTTTCTACAGTTTCAGTTTCGTTCTTCGTGCAGCACGGGTAGTGGGGTCCGGTGAAAAGCACTGAAGCAGCTTCTTTGTTGTTCAAAGAGGCTGAAGACCACTAGGTCTAAAATTTGCTGCATCTTTGGAGCTTTGCAAGTCATATTTGACAGAATAAGCGAAGCGTCGTCTACTCACCACTGTACGTAGATGTAGCATCTCATGCCAGTGCAGAATATTACATCGAGTTCACATTTTTTCATAAGCGCACTTTGCCAAAAGTCGTTTAAATTGACTGAAAAACAATGGTGAAACAAATGAGGTGCACCGTCACGCTCCTCTGACTCAACTTCACAACAAAACGAGAGGTGCGTTAGAGACAGACCACTTGGAAGACGCACCTGGCATCACAGCTGATGAAACATTGTGTTTCTCACTTAATACTGTACTGTTATTTCCATAAATAGATAATGCATACTTACGAGAGCAAAACAAGCAAGTGTTGTAAAAAATAATTCATGATATCTTGAGGCTAAATCTGGAATACAATGGCAGAGCAATGCATACCTTGGTGGTTAAATTTGTCCAGGTTTCACTTCTGCCTCACGGTCATGAAAGCTTTTTGCAATAAGATTTATGTACAAAAGAATAAAGCAATTTTCAATTAAATATAACTTCACATCAGTTTGTTTTACATTCGCCGAACAAGCGTAGCAAATCTCAGAACGTAATCTATTCGAAGCAGTTCTGAAGCCTGTGCTTCCCATAATTCCGATGGGGGTACAAACGCCGCTGAAGGAGCCCGCATAGACACTAGCGCCACATTCCCCTCTAGGAATTATTGTATGAAACTGTATGTATGAGCGCACTCGACGATTTCAGCTTCGTCCAGTCTAGACCTCAGAGGATGTACGCCGACAGATTGCGTGCAATCTCGGAGGCCAGCACACAGTGCGCCCGGCAGCTCACACACCGTCTGGCAAGTGGTTGATACCTGCTCCGACAGGTGCCGCCATCCTACCAGACCACCTTACTTCCACGCATTCCACAGCCAATCAGATCAGCAGCCGGGGTGACATTGTTTTACCAAAGCGTTTTGTTTTGTGAATGGGCGGTTAAAAACGCATTTGGCCGAGTCGCAGCTATCTGCAGCGATTTGCAGTTTTCAAACGTAATAAATTATGCAGAGAGCTGAAATCAGTCTGTAAATGTCTCTTAGGACCTAGTTTGCCCAATGTGTTTCTACAAAATCCGCAGAACTGTTTCAGGGTCCCTTTCAGCATTAATACACTGCTTCACCTTATCAGGAAAAATAATGCTCTGATTTCTATGAATGCATACAAACTGAAAGGGAGAAAACAAAAGTGTTAAGTTTTTTTGGGTATATATTGAAACCTCAATATAACAAACTTGGATATAACACATTATCGGTTATATAAAGCAAATTAACAATATCTTTGTCATCATACAATGCTACAAATAAATGTTTATAATGAATTTTCATATATAACGAAGCGATTTTTGTGGCAGATGGGTATATGAAATTAAGGTCATGGTGTACTTCTGTGAGATTGAAGTTCGATTCATCTTTTTAAGCTCATGCATAAACTTGTCAAATGCAACATAAATGTCTTGCAGGCTCTAGGGTGGATAAAAGAAACAGGAGAACATTACCTAACCAGTCACAGCAGTGTAGGTGAAAGTCGGGAGGAAACGGAGAGGTTACTCAAGGAACACAACGAATTCAAGGGAAATGCAAAGGCAAGTGCTCTTACAATCCAGTACACTCAAATTAATGTTGTGCATGTTCCTTCTTTTTGTGTTAAAGTTTGAGGTTTTCGTGGTAAAATTTTATAAGGGTGTGCAAATGTAGCAAAAGCTCATTAGTTCAACCCTATGTAATTTAGAAAACAGTATAACAGAGATGTGCTCTCTGGTCCCAGCCAGCATTCACATTTTTCAATGGAATGAAACTTGTGAATTTAATCATAGCTGACAGTAATCCGTTTAATTAGGATGATTCTAGGGGCACACCAAGTGCAAAGTGCCACAAATGTGGGTGCAAAAGAGTAATAACAATGTTTGTAGACAACTGAAATGATGCAGTGCAGTCTGTACCGCCATGAACATCATTTCGAACTGCATGGTAACTCCTAGAAAGCCAGAATGCTTCATGCCTATTTGCATTTGTCATTGCGTGTGACACTTGGTTGGGCGAAAAGGTGTTGGATGTTTGAAAAGCTGTGGTCGCCATCCACAGTCATGTTGCTGTCAACTTAGGCTTTAGGGGCTGCTGCAAATTCCTTTCATGGACCAATGAAAAAAAAAAGTGTAATCTGATGCGAATTGTGCATGTGGGGGTGATAGTGATAAGACAGGGGTACAAAGCATGTTTCAGGTGGATTAATACATGGGGATACTGTGCCCCTATCACATTGTAGAAGATGTCTCAGAATAACAAAAATTGCTGCTTTTATGCTGCTCTTATGCAAAATAAGTTAGTTTGCTACCATGCAGGAAACGAGAGAGAAGGTGCGATTGCTGCTTCAGCTGGCTGACAGTCTTGTTGAGCGAGGCCATGCTCATGCCAGTGCCATCAAGTGCTGGGTGGCTGCTGTGGACAAGGGCTACAAAGACTTTAGCCTTCGCATGGACCAGTATCGTAGTCAGCTAGAACAGAAGCTGGGCATTCAAGTGGAGGTATGTCCCTGCTTCGTTTGTGTAGCTAATTTTATGAACATATGTGCTATAATGTGAATATCTCGCTTGTGCATTACTCGTACATTCCTGTCAAAATCATTGGCATTTAGTACTCCATTAAATCTGATGCCTTTTAGAGTTTTGTGGCACTGCCTGCGTCCGAAGAAGTGAGTGGTAGTTGATGCGTACATGCACATAGCCTTAGTCAAAAGTTACAAAACGCTGGTTACATGACTCTACTTGTTTTACGGCCACACACTGTGATCCTTGTAGCACTTTGATTCACCAGAAGGCTCTATGCTTTTGCGTTAATGCCACAATTGAAGTTAATTACACTGTGTGAGAATCAAAAAATACGTTTAACACCAAATTTTCGCAAAGCTGAAATTTTCCTGACCTATATAAATCTCCTTGTTGGCCTTGTATCTTGCCCTGCAAAGAACCTTTAGACCATTACCACGAACGTCGGCAAAGCTTTCATAGAAAGTGTTCTTGTTGCATTTGCTTTGCACTGTCTAGACAAAGCATTTATAAGATTCAGATATACAATCCAACTTGTTCATAACAAACTTGAAAGTGCTGCGATAGGTGGTTATATCAGTACAGTAAACTCATGATAATTCAAACTCTAATAATTCATACTTTCGGTTTATTCAAACAAAATTCAATTGTTTGGTTGGTGATCTATTGTTTCAATGTATTTAAAAGCCTCCTAATTCAAACTCCATCATTTGCTTAATTCATACTTTTTTCAGGTACATACGAGAAAATATCAGCTGATTTTGCATTACTATTAAATAAATTGTGTGCTTATATAATTCTAACAGCATAAAAATTAAAAATAAGCACTTCAGGCCTTCGAGGAAAAATGCTTTGCAAGTAAACAAATGTTTCTAAACTGGTATAGAGAGCTTTGTGCTGAAGGCACGTACCTGTAGCAATGAAGCAGTTTGCAATTCACGATTTCTTCAAAAGGTCTGATCAGCAGTAAATGGCCAATTCACGTGTGGGCTTTACACCTTTGCTTTTGGTTCACTGTGTGCAGTTAGGGCTTAAAACACTTTTAAAAATTTTAAATGTGATAAAATCAATGCCTATACTTGGTGACAACTTTCCTGTGGCAGCACAGCCGAAACTACATGGGCGGAGCTTCTGCACATGTGTTACTACACCAAGTAGTCCGTTCTCGTGCGATTTCGGTTTCGGAAACGCATTCAACATGTGCGATGGCGCACTAGACCATACAATAAGTGTTACATTTATTTGGGATGAAATCATAAAATGTTCATATTTAAGGAAATAAACACCGGCACTTTATTGAAACGTTCAGATTTTTTTCAGAAAAAAAAAGGCATGGCCAATCAAAAACTGCACGATAGAAAAAACGAAAAACGAAGCAAAGGCCAAAAATCATATCCTAAATTTCAGTGCACACTTGGGCGGCATCACTGTTTTCCTTTTTTAAGAGACGCCAGGACTTCTTGGAGACGCTCCCGTTATTTTTAGTGGACGCGAAGGCGACGACAGGAAGCAGAAATCTTGGTACCGCTTGGTCATGGGTGGGCGTCTGACGCTCGTAAATTTAAGTGGGCGAAATTCAATCTTTCATCGGCCAAGAAAGCTGTTTTTGCAGTCAAGAGGGTAATATACATGAACGCGCATGTTTCCCCAGCGAAGCTTTGCGCTGGTAATTTTGTCCTCATAAATCGTTGTCTTTGCAAACTGCAAAAAACACTCCCTTTGTAGACGCTGGCGGAAACGGTGTTACAGTTTTCAATCTTCAGCATTATCGTATCAACAATAGTAGGTAGCCAAAATACCGACCACGCATGCAACGCAGTTTAGGAAAATGGTCATTGCTTTTAGGTACAGTTTCCAATTGCATTTTTCCTTCCAAGCAGCTGGTGTTGCTGAAGACTGGGAGGTCGCCGGTGCGACTTTCAAGGTGGTTATATAGATTAAAGTCCCACTATCGCTTATGATACTACTCCTACATGTCTTCTTTCTCGGTGATTGCACATGCGGGAAAACAAAACATTTCGCGACGCAGCACTGTCTTCGTTTCTTCCTCCGATGAATGCAGATCACCTAATGAATACACACTCATGCTCGCTCACAAGCTTCGATGTGAACTTGCTGCAAATGAGCGATGCTATTGTTGTTTACCGGGGCAGGAAAAAGGTGAAATGACACCAGAAAACCAGAAAACTAGAAACAGCAAAGAACGAAAAACCTGCATGGGCCAAGCTTTTTTATAATTATGCAAAGAATTTTGGCCGTATTATATACATATTTTATTTTTATATTTTCTCTTAAGCTACGCAGTGTACAAAAGTTAGTCTTCGTGGACCACATGCAGAAGCGTAGCAAAAAAAGGGCGTGCTTGTGCTCTATAGCCTTGGCTATGCTGATACAGAAAGTTGTCGCCGAGTGTAGTCATAATGTGTGTTGTCACCTCACCCAGAGTCATCTGTCTGAGAACTTCTGATAATTCAAACTTCTTGATAATTCAAACGAAATTCAGAGGTTCCTTCGTGTTTGTAATAATCGGAGTTTCTTTCTGTGTATTTTTATCAAAAAGTGCTAACCGCTCTTGTGACAAGGGCATGTGGAACCAAACATCTCTGGCTCATCGCTTACAGGGTGCCCGCTTACTCGGATCTTGCTGTCATATGCCGGGTCACTTTGCAGTCTAATGTATGGGTGTATTTGTACGGTCTTCATGCATGCTTCACTCTGGATCATGTTAGTGTGTGGCGAGTAGCTTTTTTGTTCAACATGATGAAGACGCGCATTTTGCAAGCAACGTGCTTGTACCTCTGCACAGTCTAAATGCACTCCCGGGCTGATATCTACAGATGACTATGATAAGGTTGTCGGCAATGAGTCAAAATGGCATGTTCATTGCCACTGGCCACCTTTACTCCACTTTTTTATGATGCTTATTCATTAAAGGCACCACCGCAACCGTGTGGAAGTCGTTATCATTGATCCTCGACCAGTATTTAACATTACTATAAGGCAGAAATTTTTTTGCGGCTCACTGTGGGGTTGGTAAGTTGAACGTGGCGGTGAACTGTTATGCGACAAGAAGTTTTTGCTACTAGCATTTATGGCTTCTTACCTTCGAAGGATTGTTTGGTTGATCGTTAGTGGTGGTAGATGCAGAGAATGGCGTCATAAACGCTTGCCAAAGCAAAAACTGACCGCAAGTCTTCATGCTGCCTTCTATTTGTTTTTGTTTCTTTCCTCACTGCTGTTCTATCAGTGAAGAAACACTCAGAAGGGGAGCGACCTCGCTCACAGCATCTGAAACCTGCGTGCAGCGCTCACCGCGTTTTACAATATCTTCTTCGCGAATAAGCTACACTGGGGCAAGTGTGAGTGCACGCCGCTCACATGCTTTAGAATACCTGTTTTATCTTTTTTTTTGCATCATATGTGCCGTGTTTTTACTGCGACCACGTTGGAAGTGTCCCTTATAAATGTAAGAGGCTTTGAATAATGCTCATGATATGTGGACACAGTTTCAATGGGTAGCATAGGAAAATCGTAAATGCACTGAAATATGCTCATTTTAGCTGATAAATTGTTACCTATATCTGGGATCATTATAAGTGGGTTCGACTGTGTTTACTTTTGGCAGACATGGTTGCGTAGCCCACTGATCAAAACATTTTCGTCTTGAGCTTGGAGGTCCGGTTGAAATCCAGTGGTGCTAAAAAATTAATTTTGGTTTATTAATTTACTCCTGGGAGTTCTTGTTCATGTGGCTCATATACATTCACTTTCTGCAAGCAAAAAAGTACTCGGTAGCCCATTGGTCAAGATACTCTTTTGGAGCGTGGAAGCAAGGGATCAAATACAGCCATGCCAGAACAATCTTTGTTTTATTCATTTATTTTAGAGATTTTTTGCCTCTAGACTCAAAGAAATCCCACCAGCGAGTCATAGGCAATTTTCTTTAAGGAAGAAACTAAATAGTATCAATTCAATGCCTTCTGGCATAAAAATGGAATTGAATGACAAATTGAAGGAATTCTGGCATTTGTGTGCAAATGGAGAGAGCTAAAAATGTATGCCTTGGCTGTTATCTCGTTCCAGCGCTTCTTCCATTGCCTATTTCCTGTCATGCTTTTCTCACACTTCATCAATGCCCAGTGCGATGGTCTGCCAAAGTTAACGGGATGAGTTTGCCATGAGCAGTCGGGAGCAAGACCTCCGAAGTATCGAGCAGAAGGCATTCTTTCCAGTATAATTGGCTTTATCATAAGAGCTGAAAGCAGCTGTCTATTCCGAGGAACATTAAGCCTTTTGTTTATGCTATTGTAGCAAAAGGATGTCAGCCTTTTGCTATATAAAAAAAAAGGCGAATTAAGGGCCTTATAAAAGCTAACAAGTATTCTTCTGCTTATTATTTTTTTTTTTTCAGGAAACCAAAGAGCTTTCTCTAGACCGCAACAGTGATCCGAATTTAGAAAGCAAGGTGAAAGAGTCAGCAGTGAAGGAACTCAATGAAGAAAAACGCAAGAGTGCACGAAGAAAAGAGTAAGTAATTGCATGGTTATATTGCCTCATATTTTGGCCCTGCATGTTTTTGCTTTATTATAGTACGGATGGCGGAATAGTGAATTTGGTGTCTGGGGTAAATGGTAACTTGGTCGAATAATTTTGAATTGAATAGTTTAAATATGGTGTATCACATATTATAAAGAAAAACGAGCATTTTGGTCGTTACTGAGCTAACTTGCACAATATTTCTAAGAATTGGAACTACGTATTTGAGAATGTCATTTTTGTGGATTTAAGTGAAGTAGTAGAAGCTTGAATAGTGGAAAAATTTGAATAGGATTAGGGTGTGAGTTGTAAGTGGTAAAATATGCCAAGTTTTAAAATTCACTATCCTTTGCACATGTAATCCCATATAAAATGCTTTTAATCTTAAAAACTACTTCATTGAAGGGCAAGTAATACTACGAACATTTTATTTCAAGTGTGGCTTCGCAGTAGTGTGGATTTCTCCTGGGTAGGTGGTTTCTAGGTGGTTTCATGGCATAGCAGCCCTTGCTGGAGTGAAACCATCGTTTGGGGGAGGTTACATGCAGTCAATTAGTATATGCATATATGTTAATTTTGAAAACTCTACAGTTTCAAGTGATTTAATTTGCTCATGCTTACCTAATAGAATTGTTTTCATAGCAGTAACCTGTGAAAGTATCCATACTCATTACTTTTCGAAAAGTAAGTTAAAAGACATTACGTCACACTAAACATTTTACATCCATTTTATGACAAACAGTACTATACAGGGTGTAAAAAGAAAAAAAAAAAAACAATATGATCAGAAGTTCTTAGAATGAGAGAAATGGCATATTTGCTCTCTGCTTTCAAAATCAATTTTGCTGTAGCACTGGCATCTGAAAATGACTAAGGAATTAATGCAAATGTCATTTGAGAAATCAAATTAATTATCTTTTGAATTAGTAAAGGCAGGCAGTCTGGTGAGAGTGGAAAATTGAGGGCCGTCCAGCAAAGAAAAGAGCCCATTGCCAGTTTGAGATTTCTAGAAGGCGCCTCATGTAATTTTTTGTGGAGTTATGGAAGTCAACTTTAGTTGACTGGCAAAACTATAACTGAAGTGCAGATGAGTGTAACTAGCGGATGACCAGAATGATTTCACTGTTCACTACAATTATTGCAGTGGTGCTAGTTGTTCTACATTTGCTAACTTACATCGCCATGTGTACTATGATTGCAATGCACAGCACTCGCACTAGTGAAGCGAAGTACATTGATATAACGATGTACACACATTAAGGATGTGGCTGAAGAGTATGGCAGGGGTGCTCTTCTGCGTTCCAGTTTTGCTGGCAAAATTGATTAGATTTAATCACTCGGGTAAAATTATCAGCGGCTGCTTTTTAGAAATCTTTTAATGGCAATGGGCTCTTCACAAAAGTGTTCTGATCCTCTAATTGGACTTGACTTCCTGTTTCTACTAATTAAAAAAATTAATTCCTTCATTTAACACAGTAGTTGATGTAGTTACTCATGTTAAGATGTCGGCCACCACATAAAACTTAATTAGGAATACTGTGGGTAAATATCGTGCTTTACTGAGTTTTTAAGAATTTTTGCTTATTTCTTGAAACACGATGTATATTACATATATCCGCTTGCATGCGTATAGCCCCGCCGCGATGGTTTAGTGGCTAAAGTACTCGGCTGCTGATCCGCAAGTCGCGGGATGGAATCCCGGCTGCGGTGGGTGCATATTCAATGGAAGTGAAAATGCGGTTGGCCTGCGTCTTCAGATTTGGGTGATGTTAAAGAACCACAGCTGGTCAAAATTTCCAGAACCCATCACTACGGCGTCTCTCATACTCCAATGGTGGTTTTGGGACGTTGGACCCCTCGTATCAATCAACCACTCACGCATGCATATGCATAACCAGAGACAGGCAGTATAAAAGTCTGGCTACATGCCTCATATGTTCCTGTGCTCACCTTTTTTGAGGTAAACTGTACAGAAAAATAACACTGCAGGGAAGCTATTGTGTATTTGCCACCAGTGCTGCTAATTATCAAATCATTCAAATATTTTCAAATTTTGATATTTACTAGGAGTGTGCGAATAAATATTTTTCGAATGCTGTTTGTTGTTTGATTCAATTTTCTTTGAACTTCACTACTGAAACTATTCAAACTTCCTGAAGACAAATACATTCAACGTCTGATTAGCAGTGGCCCCTTCAGATTTTTGGTATGCTTCACTCCATCACATCTCAGGCTCTGCTATTGCCACGATTGTATTGGCTCAAGAAAACACGGGTTTTAACATGGAGTGGATAGATGTGGCAGATGTAAGGGCTCACTTAATAATGTTTTGGACCTGAAATTTGGGCAAGAAGTCTAAAAAATTGGACGTCAAAGATTTTTAGCATCAAAATTTAAATGTTCTCGTATGTTAACGTTACGAGGCAGATTTGGAACTTTGGACTCTAAACGAGCATGCCTTTGTTCGCCACATCACTTGTGCTTCCACAGGAGTTGAAAAAGGAGGAGAGGCTGAGAAAATAGCATATTTGCCTTTCACTTGTAAAGTGTTGTCGACAACACTTCGGCTGAGCCGAATCACATACATAAATGCAATTCGGCCTCTGCACTGCCTCATTTTTTGTAAGACAGTTATAAAACACCACCTTGCCAACCTAGCTAAAATATACATTTTGATGTTTCTATTTCATAAGAATATGATTAGGAATCCGGAAGTGGCTGCAAAGAAAGTGCGCACCTCCTTGCTCTCATTGCTTTCGGAGCGGTGCAACATTCAATAACCCTTGTGTATCGTATCGCCCACTGCTCTACTAGCTCTCTGTTGTACAGTCCAACGTAATCCTGCATTTTGTGCCACATATGCTGTGTCATAGCATCTGTTTTTGCTATTGCTCTCTGTTAAGTAGCAAGGATGAATGGGCGTAGATGCCGTAGTAATAAACACAATGAGTGCACAGTTATCATGCTAGCAGTTGCGAACGTTCAGGAAACAGATGTTGCCTATATGGCTGGTATTTTGCAAGCAATATTGATTGGGGAAGAAAGGAAAAAAAAAATGAAAAAAAGTTTGTCACTGCTGCTTTGGGGATGGTGCAGAGCCCTCTCTCAATCGATGCGAAACAGCGTGAAAAGAGGCGGCTGGAGTGAGACGCTGTGCGGACGTGTTTCGCATGAGCTCCGGCCCGGTGACCGACTATCGGCGGACGCGCTTTTTTCTGGACTTGCTGTCAGTGGGCTCGTCTGCAAGAGGTTGCCCTGTACCTACGGACACCACTCGTTTAGGCAAGTTTGTCCCCGTTTTTGGAATTTCCGAGATTTTCCTATCAACCCCGCGGTGGCAAGGCTAGGCCTATCTCCTAGGCCAAGCCTGGCCTGGGCCGCGTCGCCCGGCGTCTGACTTGCGCCTGGTGACCGTGGGCCTTGTTGGGCTGAAGATGGAATACTACGTCGAAGGGGAGACTATAACACCCGAAGATTTTGAAGCGGGAGAGTGGGCTCCAGTGCTGAAGGCACAGGACCGATTTAAGAAGACTCAGCATGGCGACAACGCCAAGAGTAAGCCTTGCGAGACGCAGGCCGGCAGCGACGGGCGCAAGACGCACGGAGCGCAGCAAGTCAAGCGGGGGAAAGCGCCGGTATGGAAGAAACGCGGACCGTTTCTCAAGTTGCCAGCCACGGATTTCAAGATTGTGTACAGGCCCCAAAACTGGGACTTGGGTGTTGTGACAGCGAGAGAACTTGGATGTGCACTGAGAGCAGCAGCGCGTCTAACGAGTGCGATTGCCGCGGAAGAAGACATTGAAGACATTGTGCGGGTTAATGGCACAAACAACACGTTGACGGTGAGCACATCGTGCATAAATCGCAGTGGGGCATATGCGACTGTGAAGACGCTCAAGCTGGGTGATCGTGACCTGCCGGTTTCGGCGTTCGTGGCGCCGTTGGAGAACTCTGTGCGGGGAGTGATTTACAATGCTTATGATGGATGCCCAGTGGAAGAAGTTCGGGCGGGATTCCTGAAGAAGAATGAAGGCATAGACATTCTGGACGCGAGACCTCTGGGAAAGTCAAAGACGATTCAGATTACGTTCGGGCGAAAACGCATACCCCGGCAGATTACTTACTGGAACTGTCTGTACGCTGTGATCCCGTACAGAAATTTAGTCAATACCTGCTACAACTGCAGACGAGTTGGACATCGAGCGGACGTTTGCTATCGTCCGAAGAGCAAAAGAGCAACCTATGTCACCGTTGTGGGAAGGACCATCCTGCCCCGCCAGAAGGAGAGCCACCTACGTGCACGCCGGACTGCATCGTGTGCCATGGTGCGCATCACACAGGGAGCCGGAACTGCAAGTTTCGCCTGGCTCGCAAGCCACCGACAGGCCGGCAGCAGAGCATCGAAAGAGAGAGCGAAGCTGGCAACGATAAACGGTCCTCGAGGGCCACGGAGCGGTCACCGAGGGGTAAAGAAGGCAGAAGCAAAAGCAGGGACCGGTCGAGTTCCTTCCCGCCATTGCCAGGGCGCGGGGCCAGCCAAGATGGTGGACGAGCATCCAGTACCAACAGCTGCGCACGCGACACCAACAAAAAGGTGAGCTTGTCAAGCACGGCCTCCCAGAACGAAACCGCTCGAGAGAGGGAGTTAGCAGCGCTGGTTCAGTGACAGGGAGACTTGATTAAAAGAATGGAAAACAAAATTGCAGAGATGGAACGCGCACTTAGAAACGACCAAAGGCAGGGGACACAGGCACCAGCAGTGCAAGGCCTACAGAAAGCGACGCAAGAGGCGTCTGCTCGCGTACAGGAGAGTGCAGCTATGGAAGTGGAGAATCGGGGGACAGTGAAGAGACCACTGCCGGGGGATGAGGTAGCTAACGCGAAACGATTAGCCGAAACGTCACCAGTAGACATGCCACAGCCTGTTTTTAAGGTCATTAGTCTTAAGTCAGATGTAACAACACTTGCGGATAAAGTAGGCAAACAAGGGAAAAGACAGGATAGGTTGGAGGCTCGAGTCGAAAAGATCGAAGCCAGATTAGACTCAATAGAGGAGCGTCTCGGCATGCTCTCCACTGAATTTAGGGATTCCCAAACCCAGGTCATGGGCATGTTTCAGCAGCGTCATACTCTATTGGAGGCAAGACTGCCTCCCGTGGGTGGCCAAGTGCCATTAGTCAACCTGGTGCCTCATCATGGCGCCTCGCCAGCAAATTGAGGTTTGGCAGTGGAACTGCAGGGGCTTTCGTCAAAAGCGGGGTAACCTGCAGTTGCACGTACAAAATCTGGACAGTAAACCAGACATAATAGCCTTACAGGAGGCTAGTGGTTCCGTAAAATTACCTGGATTTAAGGCATTTACAACGCCAGAAATTGATTCAAGGGGCGTATCACGCGTCTTCACAGCCGTGCTAGTCCATCGCAACATCACTGCCATTCAGCATTCCGTAGATAGCAGCAGGGAAGACTATGTCTTGCTTGAGATTTTGCCTAAACGAAAGTATGAGAAGAGTCTGTTTTTACTTAATGTGTATAGTTCTCCAAAAGATAAAGGATTGGGCTTGCCACAACTCCTGATTCAAACTCAACGGTTAGCAGCTCGCGCTCTGCTTATAGTGGTAGGAGATTTCAATGCGCCTCACCCGGAGTGGGGTTATATTCGAGCCAGCCCAAAGGGCAATCGGCTTTGGCAAGTTGCCCGGGATCGGCGATGGACGCTGTTAAACAATCCACAAGATCATACGAGGATAGGCAACAGCATAAGCATGGATACCTCCCCAGACCTTACGTTTTTTTGAGGCATCAGTAATGCAAAGTGGATTAACATGGGACAAGCCCTAGGAAGTGATCACTATATCCTTTCCACGACGTTTAGCGCTGCGAAGCATAAAGGCAAAGTGAGGGGGCATAGAATTACAGATTGGGACAGATTTAGGAAAAACAGAGCAGACACTGTAAACGGGAAAATTAATGACCTGGATGCATGGGTACAGGCGCTCAAGGAGGATGTAAATAATACCACGGTAGAAGTGCCAGTTGAGCAGGAGGAGTTTACCGCTGACTCGAGACTATTACACATGTGGGAAGCGCACGTGAGTCTCTTGAGAAGGTGGAAGAAGCAAAAACATAATGGCGTCCTTCGCAGAAGGACTGCCAAGTTATAACGTAAAATCGAAAATTATACAATTGAGTTGCAAGCCAAGCAGTGGGGCCAGATTTGTGATCGCATGAATGGACAGTTTGGATGCAAAAAGACATGGCAGCTGTTAAGGCATCTTTTGGATCCGGCAGCAACAAAATCGGCGCAACGGGGGCAAGTGACTCGGTTAATGCATCAATATGAAGGCACAATTGGAGAGTTTATACAGGAACTCCATAATCGGTACATAACTGATGGAGTAGACGGTTGCTTACCACACTACTCGTGGGTAGAAAACTCAGACCTAGATGAAGAGTTCACAATTGCGGAGGTGGAGTTTGCCATGGGGCAGCTGCGTACTACGTCTGCCGCAGGTCCGGATGGAGTTACTAATAAATTGCTGAGAAACCTAGATTTCAAATCGGTCGGGGCGATCACTGACTTGATAAATGAGTATTGGGTGGCCGGGGAGATCCCAGCACAATGGAAGCATGCTAGGATTATATTTATTCCGAAGCCAGGTAAGAAACTCTGCTTGGAAAACCTGCGCCCCATATCGCTGACATCATGCGTGGGCAAATTGATGGAGCACGTGGTTCTCAACAGGCTTCAGAATTATGCAGAGGACAAGGCCATCTTTCCCCCAACTATGATAGGTTTCAGGGCCAATTTGTCCACACAGGATGTCATGATACAGTTAAAACATGATGTAGTCAATCCCGGGCATGGCACGGGCACCAAAGCTGTATTGGGGCTTGACCTGAATAAAGCTTTCGACAATGTTTCGCATGAGGCAATATTGAATAACCTATCGGAAATTGGCCCAGGGGTCAGGACATTTCGCTACATCAGATCATTCTTGGAGGGCCGAACCGCAGAAATTTCAATAGGAGATATCAAATCGGACTCATTCGCGTTGGGAGGCAAAGGGACGCCGCAGGGTTCAGTTTTGTCACCGTTCCTGTTTAACATTGCCTTAATTAAAATACCGCCGAGGCTGGAGGAGATACCGGGACTCAAACACACATTTTATGCAGATGATATTACTCTATGGGTAACCAGGGGTAGTGACGCGCATCTGGAAGAAACACTGCAACAGGCAGTTAATATTGTCGAAGAGTTGGCAGGGGAGGCGGGACTTTCATGCTCTCAGCCAAAGTACGAGCTCTTTGTGGTTCGGGACAAACCCAGAGGGCTACATGCAAGACACTATATTCCGCCACCGCCGTTAGAGGTAAAGGTAGGGGGTAGGCCGGTAGCTGAAGCTCAAACGATTAGAATTCTTGGCCTATATCTGCAAACTAACAGGAAGAATAGGGTGGCCCTTGAAAAACTTAAGACCACGGTCAATGCTACTGTCAGGCTAATCAGAAGAATCGCTAACCGTAAGAGCGGGGTTAAAGAAAAAGAACTCTGTAAGCTGGTACAGGCGTTTGTGCTCAGCAGGATTACTTACGCGACACCTTATATGAAGTTGGATGCCGCAGAAAAAGGTAAGGTCGAGGCTATGATCCGGCAAGCTTACAAGGCAGCGCTTGGGTTGCCTAACAACGTGCCTACAGAAAGGCTGTTAAAACTAGGGGTACACAACACCCTGGATGAATTATGGGAGGCGCATCTGGTGATGCAGCACGCTAGGCTTTCGACAACCAAAGTGGGCAGGATTATATTGGAAAGGATTGGCATTGGAGCAGAGGCTCCCACTGGGGACACTAAAATTCAGGTGCGTCGAGAGTTACATAAGGCCCTGTACATAAAACCTTTGCCCAAAAATATGCATCCGATTTACCATACGCAGCACAGGCAGGCAAGAGCCAGAGCTTTACACGTTGAGTACGGCGAGTACAAAGCGGCAGTCTATACAGATGTTGTGGAATATAAGGACAAAGACGCTTTTGTGATTGTGGTGGTGGACAGGCGGGGGCGCTTGGTCGCCTCTGGATCGGTCAAAACCCGCTCCTCGGAAACTGCAGAGGAAGCGGCAATAGCGCTAGCTATAACTAATTCGCAGTCAGATTTGATTTTCAGTGATTCAAAGACAGCCATCCGAAATCTGGCGAGGGGCAGAATATCGGCGACCGCCGCACGATTTCTGCATGGGGCCACGGGACGAGAAATGAGAGAAATAGAAATTGTCTGGGTACCAGCACACTCTGGGAACCCTGGGAACGAGGCGGCTCACCTGAATGCTCGAGGTTTCGTCAGCCGGGTAGGTGAGCCGTCAGTTCCGGAGAGGTCCGCGAGAGATGGGCTGGTGTCCTTTCATGACATAACGAATCATTATAAACTAGAGCGGAGGTTTTATCCGCCCCCGCACAAGCGGTTGACTAAGGCGCAGGAATGCGTCTGGAGAAAACTGCAGACGCGATCTTTTCCCAACCCTTACGTGTTGAACAAAATGTACCCGGAGGAGATTAAGCCGCAATGCAAATGGTGTCAGGCTGTGGCAACATATGATCACATACTTTGGGAATGTAGCATAGTGCCGCCGCCGGTGGATATTATGCGTGATCCCTCTCTTGAGCACTGGGAGGCCGTGTTGACCAGCTCAGACCCAGTCGTCCAGTTAAGGGTCGTGGAGTGGGCCACACAGGTCGCCGCCAACCTTGGGTTGATGGCCATCTAACACGGAATCATCCTCAGTTGCTTTCTGACGAAATAAAGTTTTTCCATCCATCCATCCACAGCGTGAAAAACAAGAAGACCAAGAAACCCGCAGGAAATAGTGCTGAACTACTAAGATGATGTCTCCTTGTTTTTAGCGCTGTTTCGCATCGATGAAGCCTTACCAACAAGCTCGAACCCATGCGTTTGTTAAGTCCACCTTCAATGACACTGAGCTGGAAAGAAGTTACTCTCGATTTTGTAAAGGATAGGGCAAATTCAACAAAATTTGTTGGAAATAAATGGTGCATTTCAAATAGATTAAAGTACATTTTGGTAAGGGCATATCTGCACCAAGTTGTAAGCTGCTGGCAGTTATCAGCTGCATTGCTATTAGTTCTGTAAAATTATCTGAATATGCTATGATAATGGTGGCACCTGTCACAAGTCTTCCTCAATATTTAATCTGGTGCATAGTGACACAAAACAAAACGTGGCTGCCATAAATGGTGCAGTCATAATTCAGGTTATTGCCTTGTTTTAATAGAATTTTACACCACAACTATTTTGTTTTTGTAGTGTGCGACGGTTCTTGATGTAGCGCTTTCATTGGATTTGCTGGAGAGCAAGTTATTTAAGTTTATATTCAAATATTCATATTTTTGAATTAGCATGTGAAGTGTTATGATACTTGCAAATTAACTTAAGATTTGACCCCTGTCATTTCTCAAATAACATCAGTGAAATAATGTAGTATACATTGCATTAATTCAAGATTTTCCTCTGGCTTTGTGTTTGCTTATTTTTTTCAAAGGTTTATAATGGCCGAGCTGTTGCAAACAGAAAGGACCTATGTGAAGGACCTAGAGACATGCATTCATACCTACATGGCAGAATTGAGGAACCCAGAGGTGAACAGACCTTTGGGCATTGTAGGCAAAGAGCATGTATTATTTGGCAACATGGAGGAGATATTTGAGTTTCACAATAGGTGAGTGGTGTATTTCCGACATTACATTGCTCAGCCCATTTCTTTGTGTGTGTTCAAAGACATATTTTGTTAGGATCCTTCTTTTTCTATTTTATTGGACTCTGTTATGATCAATTATGTGAAGGCATCGATCCCTCTAGCTTGCCAGGCACTATAAAAAAGTAGAAAATTTAGGAAGAAAGAGTCGGGATCGAATTTAGACCCTGAACTCCTTTTGTGGTGTATATTTACTATTACGAACCAGATTTTTTTTTATCGATACCTTTTTCAATGCTGATTAATATTATGTTGTACTTTTTGGACTTGGCAGCTGCATTGTAGTCATAATGCTTTTTCTCACAGACATTATTTGCACATTTTCAGTATATTCTTGAAGGAGCTTGAAAAGTATGAAACAATGCCGGAAGATGTTGGTCACTGCTTTGTGACATGGGTAAGTTTTATCACTGCATATTTAATGCTTATTTCTTATGTTTTGACTTTAAAATTTCATGTTTCTCCTTTTACAGGCACAAAAGTTCGAAATTTATGTGAAATATTGTAAAAACAAACCAGAGTCAAATGCTTTGCTTATTCAACATGCTGGCACATTTTTTGAGGTGAGTACTACTTCTTTTTTTTTTTTTTCACATGTTTACTGCTTCTTAACATTCGTACCTATCTCTCTGGATGCCAAGAAAGCCATTATAGATTTGGCTCACTGGGCTATCGACTCGTGCTCTCACCTGTCAAGCATCAGGTCGTTAACTTTATTTTTGATGGCTGAAGGGACTTTGGGGTCGAGGTGGAATGTGTAAAAGATGTATATAGTAGACTCTCAGTAAACGGAAATCTGTTAAACTGAACTGCTGCCTAAGTGGAACAACTACCTCCGGCAGGATTGGTTTCATACTTGGATTTTCCACTTTCATTCATCTCTCAATAAACAGAACTTCAGTTGAATGGAACACATTTTCCTGGTCTCTTCCGGTTCCAGTTAACGAGAGTTTATTGTGTGTAAAGCATTGTATGCACATGAAAAACTTTGAAGTTATTCCAGAGCTTCACCTCATTGCTAAACCCAGTTCACATGCTAAGAAAAAAGCTTCCTTCTTAGTATTAGAACACTCAAGAAAGCCTAAAGGTTATCTATCCACTCATGCTCTCATTTTGCTTGCTTTATTATACATTAATCATTAGCCTTATCGCTGCTTATGTTGACACAGTGTCAGTCATCGTCTGTTCAGCTTCAGCTGTCACAAAACCTTGTTCTGCACACTATATTGCTACGTAGCTGACATATCAGGGGTCAGAAGACGACAACGAGGAAGTGGTCTGTCGGTTGTGCGTGGGAAGTGTCGGTAGAGGATTTTCGGCCGTCATTGGTATTGCAGCTTCACCTCTATAAGCTGCAATATCTAGTTTTCCTGCTGTGGTCGTCCAGAGAAGCTCGGTGAGGAAAAGCGCCGAGGTGGCGGAGAGTGGGATTGGCGACGTAGCAGCGACGGGGAGCGGGCTCGTAAGATGACGACGAATAGAAATTGAAGGGTGCGGCAACTGAACGTCGAGGGGTCGTCGGGTGCATGTGCGCCGAGGTAGAGAAGGTCTAACATGGTTGGTTTGACCAACCACGGCGGCAATAGCGAGAAACGTGCCCAGGCTGGTGGCAGGAAAAACAAACAGGCCGGTCGTCGGGTGTTCGCCATTCTGAAGGGTTAGGGAAAGGCATTGTTGGAGGTGAACGGCAAGCATGTCCTGAGGAGTAAGATGGGACTTCAGGGCGAGTCAAGGGACATGCTGATGGAAGGCCGAGGTTCGCAAACTTCTGCCTTATCACAGCTTGTATTAATGCCACTGACGGCTGTTGTTGGTCAGAAGCGAGCGTTGCGAAAACGGGTTGCTAAAGAGGAGCCGGACAGGCGGCTTCGATTTCCTGACGAACAATGCGCGTGACGATGTGGTTGCGGCCGTGTTGGGCATTGGGCAGCCGGGTGAATCGCTGAGTAATACGGCGGCTCTTGGCTTCTTCGAACTGCCGGCACTCTTTAATGATGGCGTCGACGGGGGCAATGTGTGTATACTAGAAAATTAAAGGCGTCGTCTGCTATGCCTTTCAGCACATGGGCCACTTTCTCAGACTCACTCATGTGCTCGTCAATCTGGCGGCATAGGGCGATGACGTCGTGAATGTATGCGACGTACGACTCCGTCGACGTCTGTGCACGAGCCACCAGTTGATTCCGCACTGCTATCCGCCACCCAACGGGGTCGCCAAAAAGGTCACAAATCTTCTCTTTAAAAGAGTCCCAGCTTGTAATCTCCGCTTCGTGCGTCTCGAACCACACCCGCGGTGGGCCATCGAGGTAAAAAAGCACATTGGCAAGCATAAGAGTCGGGTCCCACCTATAGCTTGCGCTGACCCGTTCGTACCGGTTGATCCATTTGTCGACGTCAATGCCATCCTGACCGGAAAATACACCGTTATCACGAGCAGGAGGTAGAACGACGTACGTATAAGTCACGGAACGGGCAGGTGGTGAAGACGATGGTTGTTCAACCTGTGACATGGTTGGACCTGTGATGATGCGGCCGTTGCGGAGCTTCGTGATGAAGACAGGGAACTACCCAGCTTGTCCACCACAAAGATGTTACATAAAAATGACATGAGGCGCGTCTGTTTAGAATCTATATTGAAACTGATGCGTATAGCATCGACTAAGATGGAAGACAGCACGCACAACCAACAGACCACTTCCTCGTCGTCTTCTGACCCCTGATATGTCAGCTACGTAGCAATATTTTTAGTTTTAGTCAAGTTATAATAATAATATCATATGCATGAAGAATAAGCTGCTCATATGTTATATATTCACTCTCAGACTTACTAAGTTAAACCTGGATATAATGAAATCAAGAAATTCTCGGGAAAATTCGTTATAAAGAGGATTTCGTTATGTTCAGGTTCAGTACAAAAATTTGAAAAACAAGTGCACAAATTAAACAAAATGGGTACTGAAGAAAGAGCTAACTCCAAACACTTATTTAGCGCTAAAAAACTCTGTTATTATTACGATAGCAATTATATGGACACTTGGCGGGTTTTTGTTGTCGCCACCTTGTTTCGTAACCAGTCCAAATAGATAACACGCCCCCGTGCACCGTAACTTCTTGAAGGGGTAAAAGCACGCGAGCAGCGCTGCTGAAGCAGAGACCAAATGAGCCGGCCCATCTCTATCGCCTGGAGGGCTTATACAATAACATCCCCCTGCGTGTTCGAAGTGCCGTCAAATGCTCAAACAAAGGAAACCACCCATCTTCAATGAGCATGAAAAAACTTGGTCTGGAGGGGGGGAGGGAGGTGTCGCTCGATTAGCAACAGTGAACTTTGATTTCAAGGGCGTGGTTGCGATTGCTGGCGCGCGCACTATCTCGGCAAGCTTCAGTGTGCTTTCAATGCGCAGTGACTGTCTGAAAAGAGCGCCTCTCTCTGGAGCGACTGTAGCGTTTTGCAAGAGGTTCGCAATATCAAATCCAAAAGTTGGCTGCCTGCCTTACTTTATATAACATTACAATTTGTTACTATCGCCATGCATAGCATTCAACTCGCCCTCATGTTGTTGCCCGAGTTAACCGCTAATCGCGAAGGCTACGGACACATGAACTCGCGGCGCAGCGCAAGACGGAAGCGCATAAAGAGTCAACCTCCAAAGATCTGTTGTCACTACGGTCTCTGAGAGTCTCCATTAGCACCTAATCAGACATTCTGTCGGTAGTGATGACCCAATTCTCCACATAAAAAAGCAAAAAAGCAAAGCTGATCATTGTCGGGGGCCACACCGTGCGCTTGTGGTGAAACCATGCACGCGCGCATGGCGTGAAAATGAAGAGCGAACGATACGGATGCCGCGGATAAACTATTCGGTAAAGCACCCTTTTTATGCAGTGTGGCCCCACATGTGATGCTAACTAGAAGAGTGGCATTACCAATGCGAAGGTTGTTTTTGATTTGGAGGCAGGGGGAGGGAGGGCACATCCACACATGTGCCGGCGGCAGCAAGAATGGTGGCAACGCTGGCTCATGGGGCACAGACCCGCCTCGCACACACCGCCATGCAATAATGAGCGCTCACTTTTGCATGGAAGTTGCTGCCGATGCGTCCCGCTTTGCCGGCGGTGGGGCAACCGCGGAAGATGCATGCTCGTGCCAAAATGACAAAATCGGGGCAAAATTTCTCATTGTCTGTGGTGAAAATTTGTTATATCAAGGATGTCTCCTGCTGTTACTTTGTTGCAAAGAGGTCGCAAATACATGTGGTTATCTGGGGTAATGGGGGTAATAGAAAAACTTCATTAGATCAAGGAATTTGTTATGTGGAGGTTTGTTATAAGCAGGTTTAACTGTATATATTTGGGTTTTTTTTAACAAAGATCTCACCCACCATTGAATCCTTGAAGAAAATAAAATTTCATTGTTTTGCTAAAAAAATATTTTTTTGGTTAAGCACATGTTATTTTTTTTGGTTAAACAGTGGCCTGTTCTCTGTTGTTGAAATGGAATTTTTTTTATTACCTCATTTTAAAACTTACTGATAGTGCTATATGAATTATTTATTGTATGGGATTTGTCTTTTTTATTTTATTTTTATTAATTTTTATAGGTAATGTTACATAGTGATGATGCAGAGTTGTTTATGTTGACTTTCCTTATCTGTTTTGGTTCTTAGTTTCAGTTTGTATTTTTCAATCAAATCTTTTTTAAACAATTTCAGGAAGTGCAACACAGGCATGGTGTTCCTCATCCCATCCCGGCATATCTGATTAAACCAGTTCAGCGGATAACAAAGTACCAGCTGTTATTAAAGGATCTGTTAGCATGCTGTGAAGACGGTGTACAGGGTGAAATACGGGTTAGTGTACATCTGTCAGCCCTCCTTTGATATACATGTGATACCTGAATGTTCATGTACTATATCTAGCTTTTGTTTTCTTCAACTGCCCCCTCTCTCTTTCTTTTCAGGATGGGCTGGAAGTGATGTTGAATGTACCGAAAAAGGCAAATGATGCTATGCATTTGAGCCTTTTGGATGGCTGTGATGTAAGCTTCTACTTCTCACTTGTATTTCAGTGAAACTTTACTTAAAATTATTATCATGAAGCTTGAGAACTCAGTTTTAACTTTTACGTTGACTGCAGTATTAATTAGCTTCATGTATACATGAAGTTGTCATAAATCTACTACACAGGAATATTTATTCACTCTGCAAGGTGATGCATGATTTAGTTTTAGTGACACACAGTACGAGAATAATGGGCCACTAGAGAAGTTGCTAAAGGGACACTAAAGGCAACTATCAAGTCGACATCGATTGTTGAAATAGTGGTCCAGAAACCTCGTAGTGTTACTTTTGTGCTAAGGAAGTACTTATTTTGAAATGAATTCACATTTCAGTGGTCCGCATTGGGTTACACTTCAAATTACCCACCTAAACGAAACGTCTGACGTCATTGTTGCCGTGCACAATGTTGCCTGGCTTTATTGCGTGGCCGCTAGTAGCAGCAGAGGGAAAGTAGTGGGAGCCCTACAGCAGCAACAACGGCCATTGGACGATTTCTTGCTATGTCTCCGAGATGGCAGGCGTGCTTGGTTCAACTGGGCCTCACTAGATGGCACGCCCTGTTCAGTTTAACCAGCCAAAAATTGAATTTTTGAACCACTCGCACCATTTCCTGTTGTAAGGTCCGGCGGTTCTTTTTTTCATGAATCAAACAGAAACGAACAAGCAGCACTTTATGCGCCTCTTGATGCACAGAAGGTTTTTTATTTAGGTCAGCTAGATCGATTACTAGTGATCAATTATAGGCGGTAAGTGTGATGTCATCGGGATCATTTTGCGAACGTCCTAGTGTGGCGCATTTCTTCTCGTGCATTTGCCTTAATTTCTCGGTAAGTAGGACACTGCTGTTGATAATATTGTCGTTTTAGAAGTTGTCATACATTGCGGTTTCACTCTGACGTAAATTGTTACTTGGCCTAAGTGTCCCTTCAAGTAAATGAGTGTGCTTATGGTCCAGCTTTAAAAAAAAATGATTCACTGTATCTAAAACTACCAAGCTGAACATTTTGTTTATGTGTGTGCGTGCACATGCATGCATGTGTGTGTGCATGCACTTGCGTCAAGATAGCCATGTGATGTGTCATTACTCTTGCACTGAAATTGTGAAGGTACAAAAGGTCACATTCTTACATGTAAGGACCACCTTTCAAGCGAGACAGAGTGGTCTTGTGCACTTGTAAATTAGTTCTTTGCTATGCAAAATGTCTGAAAGCCAGCAAAATATGTATGCAAGCTAAACAACAGTTGAAAGGTTAGTTGTTGAGGCTCAAGTTAGCCCTGCATAAAAAAAAAACAAAACAAGATCCTGCACGTGAAAAGAAGAAAGGAAAAATTGTTCTGCATATCTGACTTTTGAACGACTGTTTGATAGGCATGTAGCAAACAGTTGAAACAAGAGGAAGCAATATTAGCCAGCCTTGAGTGAATAGCAGCGCCTGCTTGGAATCTTTATCATCCATCTATTTGCATCCCTTTTATTGGCAAGGACAAGCAACTATTACTCGCAGTCTTAATCAAAAGGGGCAATGCGTTATGTGGGATACATGGTGTGTACTTCCATGTGTACCATATTGTGGTGTCTTCAGTGGGCAGTAGGTATTGGTAGTAGCGAAAGCGTAGGCTAACTAGTGAGGTTGGTTAGCTCAGCTGCAGATTTGCTGCAAGCGATAGCTAGGCAGGCCATGCAATTGAAACCTCTATAAAAATATTTATCAGCCTTTCAAGGAAGCTTGTGTGTTCAAATAGTGCACAAAACCAAATGCTGTGCAGTACACTTCTAAGTTCCACCAGACGTCTGTAGCATTTAGGTTATCATTGTACGGCATTGTTTTCTTTTTGTTTCTCTTTTACAGGTTTCTCTTGACCAGTTAGGTGAAGTTGTGTTGCAAGATTCCTTCCAAGTTTTTGACTCCAGAGCAATTATCCGCAAGGGCCGGGAGCGGCACATCTTCCTTTTCGAATTATATTTGCTCTTCAGCAAAGAGATGAAAGATTCCAATGGCAAAGTAAAATACGTCTACAAGCAAAAACTTATGGTGAGTGTATTCTCTTAATTCTTGCTATCTTTTGACTTTGTGCTTGTGCCCAAAATGCATTATTAAAGAGCTTAACCTCTGGCCTGCATGTTTATTTACAGACATCTGAAGTCGGCATAACAGAGCACGTAGAAGGAGATGAGTGCAAATTTGCTGTTTGGACAGCAGTGTGGACTGAGCATGGGCCCACATCCGAGAACAAGATAATACTGAAGGTAGAGAAAGTTGCTTGGGATTGGGTGAATAGCAGAACTGTAAATTTGGGGACATTTCTGTGATACTGTAAACTAAAATGTTTAGAAACTTTTTTTTTCTTGTAACATCTTATTTTGGTGCTTCTTAATTGTGGCAGGGCCACAGTTACAGAAAGGGAAAAAAAAAAGAAAACAAGAATTTGTTGACCTTAGAGTGTGTTAATTCAATGCATTCTGTAAACATTGTGGCATCTATAGCATTCTGTTCAGACTGTGATGCCTTGTGACTGAAATGCAGTCTGTGATAATGTGTTCTAGTGGGCTACTCAGTTCTGTGACATGATGACTCAGTGTGCCAGAAACAATAATGTTCACACGGGCATGAAGGATTAATACATTGGACATACATGAAGCTTGGTGTCTGCTTAACATAAGTTCTGTGCATGCATGTCGGAAGTCTTACACCGCACAGTTTCATCATATCATAATAACTACCCGGCCAAGAAACTATTGGATAAGCGTGGCTTGTTCTGGTTGGCACTTTTTAAAAGCTTAAAAGTATCAATTCATTACTAGTGGATGTTGTTGAACTTGGACGTACTTTTGTGATACTAGTGATACTATGCATAATGAACTTTCATTCCACATACTTACTTCAGTATTTTTTTTGCCATTACCTATAAATGTGTGTTTTAAACATATTTTAGCACTGTGTATTTATTTATTTATCTATTTATGCATTTTATTTTTTGTCGACACAGGCTTCCTCACTTGAAGTAAAGCAGACATGGGTGAAGAAACTGCGACAGGTGATTCAGGAAACCTGCTTTAATTCTACCCTATCAACACTGAACCTGAACAAGAGCACCAAGCTTACTTCCAAGCTTTTCAGCAACCGATCGAGCAGGTAACATACCTTTGTTTCAGTGTTCGTGTGAAAGCTTCATACTAATGATGTGCTTGCCGATTTTGATTTAATTTAAGATGTTCTTGATATTCTCAAAGGAGTACTGACACAAAACTTTGATGGAGAGACAACTTGTTAAATAGATTTGCGTTAGGCACACACAAATAATTGGAAGAAGGCACATACAAATACGTATTTTTGTATGTTCGCTGGTACCGAGTTTTTCGTGTATGTTTCCACCAAAATCTGCGAGTCATAACAAGCTTCACTTATGAAAATTAATCTGGCATGCAAGCCAGGCTTGTACAGTGCTCTATAGAGGGAATACATATAAATAATGGTACTCAGAAAGACGGCTTTATTTATCTTGTGCTTAGCTCCTTATTAAAATTTAATAATAATAATTGCTGGTGTTTAGCGCCCCAAAATCATCATATGATTATTAAAGACGCCGTAGTGGAGAGCTCCAGAAATTTCGACCACCTGTGGTTCTTTAACATGCACCCAAATCTGAGCATATGGGCCTTCAGCATTTTCACTTCCATTGAGAATGCATCCGCCGCAGACGGGATTCGATCCCGCGACCTGCGGGTCAGCAGCCCAGTGCCTTAACCACTATGCCATCGCAGCGGGGCCCTTAATCATAATTTACAAGTGCACTTCCCAGCACTGCGTATTCTCCTAGCTAATGGTGGCACGTGGCCTGCTTCAAGTGGAGACGAGGCACTAGTGGCGCTTGCTGGGGCTTGTCTATTATGTTTGTTTATGTCAAGAGGGCAGAGTCTACATTTTCTACGTCATAGCACAAGTAAACTGCATTTGAACACTTGAAGTAAGTGAATAGCTGACATTAGTTTGGCACACTGCATAGCCAAATAGCTAGCTTTACAATTATGAAAAGGGTCTATTGATATTTACAATGGACCTTTGCACAACCTGAAGTGAGGTGTGAAATGGTTTACATTTATCAGGAGATCCACTTGCTGAGAGAAGCTGTAGAACAGTGGGATCCCTTGTGGACTGCTGGAAATAAGCAGGAACCTCTTGCAGTGATAGAGAAGGAGGGGTGATCGTAAATAATGCAACATGCAGCATGAAATAGGGGCCTTTTGTTTCTTCCTGACAATGTATTGTGTTTCTGAGGGCCACACTAATTCGATCTCAGCAGCTTGTCAACATGTCGTGCAATCTGCAGCCACATAGAATATCTTTCTAGTTATGCTCGCTGTTCAAATATACAAGCCTGGAAAAAGCATGCTTGTACTCTCACGGGGTAGGAAGGGGAATCATATGGTTAAGGGGAAGCATAAGTCAGCTCTATCATAATGCAGTGGAGATAAGTGGTGAGGTATATCAAAATTCTGACAAGGTCGCTGTCACAGGACATAACCCAGCATTCTAGAACGTCTCAATCACTCTTCACTTTACCTTGGCTTGAGAAGGGAATGGGAGCGCTGTCTCCCATTCCCTTCCTGCTGATATGCAGCAACTTGATATGCAAGTTGCTGCATATCAGCCGTAACCTGCCGCGATTTTTGAGAACCGCAGCATCATTTTCAGTCAAGCAGTGGAGCAGTTCTCAACTCACACTCGATCCGGCACACGTTGCTGGACTGCCTGTTGTGACAACAGCGCCACTTCCAGCTACCGCTTGTGATGGCGCCACACAACACCACAGAGTTTTCAAACTGAGCAGGTTCTGTAAATGTTTCTGCAGACCACAGGTTGTGGACACCTGGCGTAGGAGGAATAAATTGGACACCATGAAGACATTTCATAGAACAACAATTTACAAAACAAGAAATTGGAGGTCCATTAGCTATTGACTTACGTATCTGCCTTCTTAAGCCACATCACCAAACCCTGTTTGAGGTTTTGTCGTTAGCTGTCATTCTCAAATTATTTATGACTTTCAGCTTTGTTTCTACCATGAGTAAGTTGCACTGGCATTTTGGTCTTGCCATTGGAAACACTTGGTTAGTTCACCAACCATGAATGAGCATGACTCAGCACAAAGAAGAGACTGGAAAAAGAAAAACAAAAACAGAGGAATACTGCATACAACATTGTCACTGATGCATTTAGCGAGGTAGCTGAAAGAGCCCATTTATATTTCCTTATGGTGTTGCTTACAAGTATTTTTGTCTGAAGTAACAAAAATAGATGGTTCTGTTCAAAGTTTGTTTTTAAAACTACATGAATGCAAGACCAACCAAACATGAGGTTGGCTTTTATTAAGCAGTTTCCTTTGAAAGATTTCGATTTATTGAGATTTAATTCTTTATAGAACATTAGAGGTGCCCTTCACACATGCCAAATATATCATGTTCCTGCAGGTTCTCAAGCTTTTTATTGATAAATAAAAAATATATTTTTAAATGTTTTGCAGCTCTTCAACTTACCAGGACACTTGAGGGGTAGACATGAAACTGCAGGTGTAGTAAGCTCATGATATTATAGAGTAACAGAAAGAAATTATGTTTAGTTTGCTTCTAAAATTGGGACTTTATTTCCTATGATCACTTGGATTTATTCTTCACCTGCTGTCATAGCTCAGCATGTGACATGCCCCGTTGCTGAGCTTGAGGGTGTGGATTCAATTCCTGGTCACTGTGAAAGAAATGGGAGAATGCCTGTCTGCTTAGATAGAGGTGCACGATAAGGAATCCCAGGTGGTCAAAATAAACCCAGAGTTCCTCGCTACGGCTTGCCTCTTCATTCTCTTTGTGTTTTATTTTAATCTGTCCTGTGTTGTGTTGCGGTTACCTTTGCTAGTCATGAATCACCAAATGGCGTACACCCACAGTATGTGTGCATTCCTGCAACACAACTACCCATAGGACTGTGTGAAGTCACCACAATTGTACTGTATCTTAATGTCACAGTAGCTTATTTTTCGATAGTTGGGCCATGTGAAATTTGACTTCAATGTTAAAATAAAACATCAGCATTTTCTTAGCTTTAGACCTTATCAGAGTTTTTTTTTATAAAGATTTTTATGGCATAGTATTCCTGGTTTCAAAAATAAATGTCTGTAACTCCACTGTAATAAATGTCAGACTTCCACTGTATTGAAACAGCTGTATACCTGAAACAGAGCTGTGGACAAAAACTAGATTTTGGTGCTCACGTAGAGAAGGTTCTGTGGAATAAAGTGTGTGCAGAAACCAGTAAACTTTTTTTTTTATACTGAAACGATATGATCTTCCCGTTAACTTACAGTGTTATGTTTTGCCTTTTTAGAGACTTTGAGGACTCCTCCCAGGATGAAGGCCTCACTGACATGCAGGAGCGTGTGTCAGTAGCTTCTTTTGGGTCCAGTAACACTACTGACAGTGAAAAGGTTAGTGATGCATGATCCTCGATTTTCAGTGCATTTAAATCAGTTAATTAACCTGTCGTATCTGGCTTATGGTGGCATACTACTGCTCATTCTTTCCTGCGTGAGTACAGATGAGAAGAGATAAGTGCATCCATATAAAAAAAATTTTAGGTTAGACTAGTAAAGTCTTTGTCCAGGAAAATGAAACTGTCAACATATTATGTGTAAGCAAACAGTGGAAAAGGATGAAAGTTCAGAGGTTATACCATCTTGAAGCTCTTGCACTAGTATTCCAGGACATCGTGGATGTTTGCCATGTTAGCACAGCACTATATAGCAATTTATTGACAAGCAAGGGGTGGAAGTGCTGTGCCGATTGCGCCATTCTGTGCCAATCTGACCTGCTGCGCCAAGCTGTGCCTAAACGGCAATTTGCGTGTGCAATGCCAAATTTCGTCGAATTTTATCATCAACCGAGTAACACACGTGTGCCACACAAAGGACACAACCACGTCCATATCAAATTAGTTTGGTCACGTCGTAGTTTGGTTCACGCAAGAATCTTGCACCACGTGAACAGAATGCATGAGTCTTGTCAAGGTGGCGTTACCTTTTGTTACCGCCCCATTATATGCGTAAAGCCGTCTTGCGTAAACCACGCCCGAATGAAATTAAGAACCATTTAGATAATCTCGGAACCCTCTGATGAGATTACGTGCACAACGCATACATTAGAGTTTGTTCTGGAACTTACGTGGTCACTATAGCGATAACGCTGGAATCTTCGATGGTAGACGTATAAATTCCGACGCACTTCGCTGCTTGGCAGATCATCGAGGGTCGACGCTTCATGTTCCCTGCTACATGTCTACAGCGTGTATTGCTTGTAGACTGACGTTTTGTTGTCTGGGCATAGGTCCGCCCAGCTTATGAAAACATTGTCTGCTGCCTTCGTCAACATCATGTCCCCATGACAATACAAAGACTGACAGCTAACTTTTTTGTATTCGACATCCCGACACTCTACAAAACGCAGGTGTAAGAGAATAAGTACAGCCGCTCCAGGGAGAAATGCCCTTATTGCACAATCTCTTCCCTTTGAGAGCGCACTACGTAAAACGGTTTACGAGCCGTGCGCTGATGCTTGCTGATAGCGCGCGCGCCATCTATCCCAACCACATTTTTAGAATCAAAGTTCGCCACTGCTGCTCGAGTGACCCCCCCCCCCCCCCCCTTCTCCCGTGTATTTTCATGCTTGTTATAGATGGGCAGTGTGTTTCCTCTCTGCTTGAGCATCCGACGGCAGGTATAACACGTGGTGGGATGCTATCGCGTGCACCCTCTGAGCGATAGACATCGGCCGCCTCGTTTAATCTCTGCTTGAGCAGCGCTCGTCCTCCCAGCTTGCGAAATTTTACGTGCGGTTAGAACGAACGGGTAAGTCTGTTCGCTTGATCAGCATTGCATGCTTAGTAAAAACCACTGAAATTTTCTGTGCTTATCATAAATAAAAAATTCTAATTAACAGTGATGTGTGACTCGAGACATCTGCTCCAAGACTAAATTTTGATGCTCCAAAACTGCATTATTCTTGCTCCCAAAGCTGCTTCAAAAGACTGAGGCCTGCTTCCACCCCTGTATATTGTATTTTAGAGCATGCGTTGGCAACCTGCTGGCTGCATGCAGCCTGCCGAGCAGTATTCTGCGGTTCCTGACATAACATCAAAGCCCCTTCTCCTACTTGAATCACTTAATAGCTAAAGGCCAGTATGTACTTTAATCGGGATTTTTGCTTGTAACTAATGTTTAATTAGAACTTTGTGACATGTGCACTGAAACTAAAGATCAATTCCAATCAGGTTTGGGCAGTATTTTCAATTCGTCGAATCTTTTTCTATGTCTGCAAGCCCCCCCCCCCCCCCCCCGTTGTCATTATTTGCTGTGCTCTCCCCCGCTGTGTCAGCTTCACGAAACTTGGCCCTCCACCTAGATAGGTTGCCAACCTGTGTTCTAGAGAAAACAGAGACTTATCATAGGGAGCTTTGAGGACGCTCAATTGCATAAAAATGAGTGGCAAATCTAACCCTCTGTGGAAATAACTCTATGTAAACATTTGATGTACTACAAAGCAAAATGACAAATTGTAAGAAGGATGCAGTACAGCCGAGGTCACGTCTGTGTAGAGCCCTCGATCAGCCAGTTTTTGCTCTGCGAGCCGAAACTTTGAGGCAGTTTCGGGCTCTGAAGTGGTGTATCGGGAGCATGCACGGCCTAGTTGTCAGGCTGACCATGTCAGAGCCTGATACTGCCCCAAGGTTTTACCCAACAGAGCAAAAGCCGGCTGTTCGCGTGCTCTACACACGTGGCCATGGCTGTACGTTTCAGTGATGAATGTGTCCCTTAATCCATCCTTGGTGGGCAGAGATATGGCACTATACGAAGACGAAACGTAAGTTATACATAGGGGTGATCTTCAAGACAATTTACATGCCTTTACGAGAAACACATTAGAGTTGGTGGATAAAAGCATTTTGGAACAGCCCCAAAAATGCTGTATTTAGTAGGCTTGTGCGAATGGTGAATTTTAAGTTCGAAGCAAATTTGAAGCGAATACTAATTTTGATTAAATAATTTCGAATCTAATTCGAATGGTATGTATGACATATAAAAAATAAAGGTAATATATATCATGACTTAACTAACCTGCACAATACTTCTTTTGAATTAAAATAGGGGCTCTATGCAAATGGGTTTTTTTTTTTCGTTTAAAGGAAGTTGAAACAACCTTGAGTAGTAGTTTCGCTAGGGTGCGAGTGATAACCTGTAAGATACTTAACATTTTAAAATTTATTATACTTGGATCATATAAGCTGTCATAATAAGCTTAATAAAATGAAAAATTGATTTGGGGAGAACATGTTCCTTTGAAAGGGCCCTGCACCACTTTTTCAAGTAGCCGTGGAGCCAGTAAACATGCTTGTTGCCTCGCGAATTTACCACCGCGAAGTTTCTAGAATCAGTTCAGTACGAGCGGAGTTCCAAATATTTGTTGCACGCTTGCATTCTTTTTTCTCGTCTCGACGAAATAGCTGGAAGTTAAGCAGGGAGGAATGGCATGTCGAAAGAAAATACGTCACACACACACCTCGTGACCTTGAGCACCTCTTCTTTTTTTTTCTTCGAATACGCGGCTTTTTAGTGTGGTTGTGCACATACTCGTGGACAAGTGGCGGTCCCAGTAACGAGTGCACCATGCTCAAATCAGCCAATGGCTCTGACCAGAGCCGTATATTCCTTCTTGGCTGTGGCAAGTGATTTTTGAGCTTGTAGTGTCATTTGCCGACAGAAGAAAGCAATGTTTAGCTTTGAAAATTTATTCTGAATTACAGGCTGCATGCTGCGCTACAATATTTGCCTCGCGTGTTCTCAGTAGCCTTGACTACCGATCGACAGTGTTTTTTGACCATGTTCAGTAAGTGTTGCAAGGCCCCTTTAAAATTGAAGGAGGGCTTCGTGGCAAAGCGAATGTTTCTTAAATGCTTTTACAGCTTAGCACCACTACATTGCAGTGAAACCCCCTTTACAGGTGGTAACATGCAGACTATTATACATCCATTCGTTCATTGTGAATACTTCGAAAATATTCTATAATTTAAATTCAAATCAAAGTGAATTCGAAAACTCAACTATTCGTTCGAATATTCAAAGAATTCGAATATTTGCACAAGCCTAGTATTTAGGGTAAACAATAACACAGAGAATTCAGCATGGTAGTCACCGTCGAAGACAACGTGGGAAGCGCTTGTGCCCATAGTTTTGCTGTGGCGGTGAGGATTCATTGCTGGTTATTGAGCCCCTCACACACAAGGTTTGCTTTGGTCATCGTAGTCCTCAGGCAATGCGCATAGGGAGTGCGGACGGGAATGTGAAATATCAGTGCAGGGTGAATTTTGCCAACATTTCTTTAGAACCATTTGTGCTGCTGACCATGATGTATAAGAGTTATCAGGAAATCAGGAGACTTCTTTATTTGGTGATTAGTTATGCAGAGAGGGAAACATCATCTGTAGGTACGAGACTCAAAGTTGGGCCATTTGGTGATACATTACGACGAAAAAAAGTGCCCCAACAGATGGAACAAAGGTAGGTACAAGACAACACAAGTGCTGACTGGCAACTGGTGATATATTAGAATATGTGTGTTTTTGTCTGTAAATCACTGGTTGAAAGTCAGAGCTTGTGTTGTCTTACACCTACCTTCATCCCGTTCGTTTGTGCGCTATTTTTTGCCATAATGTAGGCGTAGTAGGAAAACTGTGCTTCATCACTTTATGAATGCTCTGAACTACACCACCAGGTGGTGGCTTCTCTTCCTGAGGTGCAGGGTTTTTACTTAAACAGGCATATTTTTTTCTTGTTTTTTTTTTATCTCACTGAGGAGGCATTTATTTTCTAAGGCAACCAGGACCAACTGAGTCGAGTTATTCAGCAGATGGTAGATAAAGATAGATTCTTTTTGAAACAGTTCTCAGCAACAAATCTCAAGACAGTGGTCTGGAACTGATGTACCAGTTTTGTGTTTTTGGTACTTAATTTTTGGCTATAGTAGTCATCCTTTTTTACCAATTAAGTGGGTTCTGACTCTCTTGGAAGAATAGAAATATAGCTGATTGAAGGCTAAGTGCTCTTCTATGATGCCTCTTTACATCTGAAACAATTCTGATAAATAATGTGAACAATATGAAGATCTAAGATAATGGTGGTATATAAACAGGACAGAAGGATGATTCTATGCTTCTCTTTATTCAATTTTCATGTTCTTGTGCTGTAAAACTTTCACTTTCAAAATTATAAGAAATGAAGTGTGGTAGTATGTGTTATGAATAAAAAAATAGTGGAGTCATAAATGATGTTGGATACATAGCTTCAATAACTTTTATTTTCTGATGTTTTCACGGACTACTGGAACGGCATTCTGACTCCCGTTGTGTTGGATGGTGAACATGTGCATAGTGGACTTG